AAGGAGAATCTGCAGGGCTTATGACTTCCCCATGGTGGATAGCGTAGAAAGTGAAGCTTCTAAACCCTCACCCTTAACCCCAAAGACCCTAAACCCCTAAACCCTAAACCCTAAAACCCTACAACCCCAAACCCTAAAATCCTAAACCCTACAACCCTAAAACCCTACCAACCCTAAACCCTAGACCCTAAAACCCTACAACCCTATACCCCAAAACCCTAAAGCCCTAAAACCCTACAACCCTAGACCCTACAACCCTGAAACCCTACAACCCTAGAACCCTACACCCTAAAACCCTGAACTCCTAGAGCCGTCACATGGAAAGCTCCCCGCTCTCCAAAAGCCCAAACGACCAGAGCCCCAGGTTCAAAGTACCCAAATGGAAGAATGTAGGGTTTCTGTATTCGGAATTACTATTAAGATTTGGGGAAGTGTCCCCCATAACAATACCTAGGACCCTTTGGGGGTTTAAGTGCTCCCACATGGGTTCTTCAAGGTTTAGAAACGGGTTATGGGCGATGAGGGCTATGACTCATTATTCAGACCTCTGTCTTCAGCCCCACATTAAGCCCGAAAAACCCAAAACATCAACCCTTAAACCCCTAATGTAGACTCTAACCCTAAACCCTGAAGCCTACACTCCAAAGTCTAAGCCCTAAGTAATCGGACCACTTTCAGTGCTTCGTCTGCTGAGTTTCCCACCACTTCGGCTTCGCCGTGTGCTTCGAGCACGCCCGGGGGCTCCGCTTACGCTAGGGCTCTATAAGGACTCACATGGGTGGTTGTCAATATTGGGGTCCCTTTTGGGTCCTTATAACCTAATAATCCTAGACCTTCCAAAACCCCTTAATTAAGGAATATACCTTAAATTATAGTAGGATCCTTAATATGATTTAAGGTATATTCCTTAATTAAGGGATTTTGGAAGGTCTGGGATATTTAAGCTACCCAAAAAGGGACCACAATTTTGACAACCACCCAAAGGTTAAGGCTTCTGGGCCCAAAGACCATAATCTTTTGAGCCTGAGTGTCATGGTTTATCTGGACCTTCTGCCTTTTTGTGGGTTCCGTGGTGTGGCATGGAACCTTAAGGGTAGGTTAGCAGAAGGGGGGGGTGGAAGGTAAGCTTTTGGGCCTCAGGGCTTTAAGGTTTGGGATTTACGGGTTGCAGGGCTGTTGCGGGTATAGGGTTTGGGGCTTTACCCTAAGGCCCCCAAGTAGTTCCTTTTTGGGGTTCGTATATAGAATCCTATAAAGTACTCCCAAAAAGGAACTACTTTGGGGCCCCAGACCTTCCAAAATCCCTTAATTAAGGAATATACCTTAAATCATATTAAGGATCCTACTCTAACTTAAGGTAAATTCCTTAATTAAGGGGTTTTGGAAAGTCTGGGGAGAGCAACAATCCTCGAAGTGAAGCGGTAGTGCCGGGATGAGGGCCTCAACTACTGCCTGTAAGGCTGTACCGGGTAAGATGCTTGAGAAGGGGCCCCCACCCCCCACCCTGTAATAGTGGTACAATAGCAATATAATGGCGCCCTAATGTAATCCCTATAGTCACTATTACAGGGTGGGGGCAGCTTCTACGAGATACTGTATAACTCTACTCCCCTTGGAAGGTAAGCAAAAAACTACTTTTTCGGAGACCCCTATAAAAGAAGACCGGAACCAAAAAAGGAACAAAGTAACAAAGTCTCCAAGAGCCTTAAAGATAAGGGTTCTATAAAACAGGGGTTTTGGGGCGGCTCTTGGGGCTTGGGGCTGGTGGGCGCGTGGGTGTAGGAGTTGGATGGGGTCTGCGGGTCCCTCCCCGTGTGTAGGCAACCCTCACGGCCCTAGTGCCATAGGGTAAGAACAGTATAGAGGGTTTAGGGTTTAGGGTTTAGGGTTTAGGGTCACTGCAAAGAACCCCAAGGGTCCAAACTCAAAAAAAACAACCCGTACCCACATGCGCATGAGATGCTACTTGACCCATAGGCCCCCACAGCAGTTCCCTTTTGGGGATTCCCGCATTAGGACTCTAAATATGAAGCCGAAAAAGGAACTACTATGGGGCCTATGGGTAATCTTGGGGCCCTAAACGTGAAAGGAATATAGAGGAATGGCAGCAGAAGAAGCGCACTTCAGGAACTAATGGAGTGTCTTCAGGTGGGTGGCTCTACATGTATGTATCTCAGCTGCAATGTCGGTGTCGAAAGGGCTTGCATTTACAGTCTTAATTGTTTAGGGTTTAGGGTTCAATCTTCTCTTCAGGGACAAACCTGGCGAACTTCTCTGCGCGTCGCTCGGATCCCCCGATGCCGTGTACGTCCAGCAAGAGATGCCTCCTTCACAATTCACATACGAATGCATCGATGCTTGGGACGGCTGGCGTCGGAAGTTCTTTGGGCAGAGTTGGATGCAGAATCACTGGAACAGGTTGCCCGCTGTGCCCTCTGCCTCCGCAGGTGCGCTCTACGCTGCCATCCATCTCTAAAACAAAGGCTCCATGTACCTTTATAGTAGATACTTAAGCCTTAAAGGAGTCCCCATATAGGTACTTTAAGGCCTAAGTATATACCAGACGGGTACATGGAGCCTCAGGGCAAAAGCAACGGTCTCAGCCCTGAGTAACCGAAACCCCAAAGCCCCAGAGGAGGGTCAAGCCGAGCAACCTGCAGCTACTACATGTTGCTGCAGGAAAAACACAAAATGCAGGATGTAGACCACTACTGGAGTAAGGTTCCGGGTGTAAGATGTCGGAAGCTTGTACCCCTCCACTCTCATCCTCAACGAGGAAAATAGGAAAGGGTAGTCTCTGTGTACTACTAGTTTAAGTAGGGCTAGTATTTCCTGTTTGGGGGGGTGCCAGATGACGCCCGGTAATGGCGCGGGGCAAGGGTTTGCGTTTGGGATTTTGGTGTCGGTTTACAGGGTTTACCTAAAGTCTCCATTGTAGTTCCTTTTTCTGGTTGACCAAAAACCATAATATAGGATCCCAACCATAAAACTGGTTAACCAAAAAGGGAACTACAATGGAGACTATAGGTAGGGTTTGCATCTACAGTAAGAGCTGGCTGCGGAAAGGATCAATCCTGCTCCTTTTTGCTGGCGCACACGCACCACTTTTCAAGGTTGGTATGCAACTGAACTGTTGCAATGAGCTCCTGGCACCGATGCGAGATTGAGGTCCCCACCAACTAGGTACCATCAGCGTCCTGGGTGTCTTCTTGGATATGTATACGAGAGAGCGAGCGAGAGAGAGAGAGAGACAGAGAGAGAGAGAGAGAGAGATAGAAAAACAACAGAGGTTCATGGCACTCTGGACCAACGTAGCCATTATGCAAATCTCTGAATACTCGAAACACCGTCGAGGAGTTCGTTCATAGAACCTAAACCCAAAGCCCTGGACCGCCTTTTGTTCCTGAGCATCATCTGTAAACGGCCCAGGATCGTAAACTGCATGTTCTTCCCGAGAATCGTCTTCAAAAGACGCTAACAACTGGATGATACCAACCCATTCATCTTTATCCCCTGATCCGAACTCCTGTCGCACCTTCAGGCGATATACCGTCGCCCTACGCTCTAGACCAAGTTTACGCTTCGGGGGCTTGGCTTAAGCGAAAGACTTAGAGCTTTTGGGTCGGAGGGCCTTTTGGTTCATTGGTCGGAAAAGGTGGGTTCCTGATCGGAAGATGGTTGGTGCCCGGATTCAAAACGGTGTCCGGATTCGCTCTTGCCCAGGACATCCGGCGCCAAGTTTCACCCTTTGGCCCTTTCAGGTCTACCTTGTAACCTACCAAACCCTACTTGTTTGTAGGGTCCCTATAAAGTCCAGAATAGCGTTTATAATAAGAACCTACAAACAAGTGGGGTTTGGTAGTTTAAGGTAGGGCATAGTAAACTCTAAACTCGGCTGAGGGCTTAGGGTTCATAGGAACCTTCAGTTCAACAGAAGACCCAGAAACTTGCAGGCCGCAGGCATCGAGAGTTCCGGGAAAAGTTTCGGGGCGGCAGCTGTTTGGCAGAGATCGGCTCTTCATGCAACCTCAACCCGCCAGAACCTACTTTTTGGCAGGGTCCCTATAAATTCAATATTTGAATTTACAATAAGAACCTACAAAATGTAGGGTTTGGTAGGTTAAGGAAGGGAGTAACAGGTTTTCATCGCTTGAGGGAGTACTCCTTAACCACATACCATATCCCTGAACTCTGCCTTTAAATCCCAAGGCAACACCCACCCACAACCCAAAAGAGCCCTGAAATTCCGCTTAAAGGGGTCTCACATTGCAGCAATGAAAAGGCAAGGGCTCTATGCCTCATGATTAAGAGATAGTGAACTGGGGGCCGAGGTACAGCGTAGTTACGTAGTTTGGGGGGTCTACATACACCCTAACAGCCCCACTAAATCCGAAAGCCCGCTTAAACTCTTCAAACCTGGTCAAGGGCTCTGGGTCAGGGTTTAGGGGTTTGTGGTTTGGGACCCTTCAGATCTGATCTCCACGGAAGCGAACGGCTTCCCCGGTCGTGTCATTGGAAAACGGCGCGGTGTCCATGCGAAGCCTCAGGGACGGAATGTTAAAGGTGACGAAACCCAACTTGTGGCATGCATAGAGTACAATGTAGGCCTCCGTAGGGATGTGTACGGGTGTTCTGTGAGTGGTTCTAGGAGGTTTTTGAGATTCTAAGGTATTGCAGGGTCCTGACCACACGAGTATATAGCGACAAAGGGAAGATGTGGGACGGTATAGGCACAGGTGTGTGCTTTAATAGGTCGCGTGTGGTCGGGTGTGGTGTCTTAAGGGTGAGAGTTCAGGGCTTGGTGTCGCAACCCAGGGGGTGGTGCCTTCATCAGAGGTCTGCAGACAACCCAAATCCCTCATCTCGTCAAAAACGTAAAAACGCCCTACAAAATCCCGTAAACATTCCTGATGACACCCCTCTACGGAACCCTGACCATACCGTCCATCATCGCATATCACCCGGACCTCATCTTCGCATGGCCGCGGAAAATGCGATGGCTAGGACAACTTCAACCTGGGCGCGTCTGGTTTGCGTCTTTAGTTTGGGCTCCTGCAAAATTTCCGTAGAGGTTGGGATCCCCAAGAGACTAAGACTTAATTCCGAGGTATTAATTATAGTACTACGTATATGCCAGCAATATAACTTCTTAAATTCGGCCCTAAACCCTAAACCCTTAGGACCTTACAGCTGAAAGGGTTGGGGTTCCAGGTTGCACAGGCTCACGAATGCGAATACAGGGGTTTAGGGCGTATAGGGTTTAGGGTTCGGGGGTTTAGGGGTTCAGGGGTTTAGGGTTTACAGGGTTTAGCGTTCAGGGGTCTAGGGGTTTAGGGTTTAGGGGTTTAGGGTTTATAGGGTTTAGGGGGTTAGTGTATATATATATATATATATGTTTGGCGGTTTGAGGTTTCGGGGTTCATGGTTTAGGGAAAGCAAACTGATGACACCTGCACACTCCCATAAGAACCAGGCCCCAGCGCCTGAGACTTCCATAAAAGAACATCAAACACCTGACGACACATATGGGAGTTTCAGAAAATAGGGGACCTTAATGTAGTATCCGAAACAGTAGGACCCATATTATTATCAGCACCCCCAAATAAGGTACCCCGGAATTACCTTAATTTTCGGAAACTCCCAGATGGGTGAGGAGAGTACCTTCTTTTTGGGGTCCTTACAACATCGTCGCTGGGAAAAAGGGACCAGGTCGCCTGAATCTCCCATAAGAAACAGACCAGCATACAGGGAACACCTAGGGATTGAAGGTTTTGGGTTCAGGGATTTAGGGACTAGGGTTTAGGGATTTAGGGATTAGGGTTTTGGGATTTAGGGTTGGGGTTTAGGGATTTAGGGATTCAGGGATTTAAGGTTTAGGGGGAAACCCTAACAGCTGGAGGATGCGTGGAGAAAGATACAGGGCGATGATAGACAGTGTTCTTTTTATTGAGTTATGCACTCCCACCACACGACAAACTCCTTGCTTGTTGTCCGGGTCCAGGTAGGTGCAACAAGATAGCAAGATGACGCTAGACTTAGTTGCTTAAGGACGGTTGAAAGGCCACTGCACAAGATCTTGGCTACTGCTGCTGGTTTTGGCCCAGCACAGGCTTGAAGATCGACTGCAGGCAGGATGATAGCTATGATTCTTGGCTACGAAGGCTTTCAAGACCCACACAAGGCACGGTTTTAAGGTCAGAGCGGGTTCGGGCAAGGCCTCAATACCGAAAATACAAGATGACGGCTAGAAGTACATGATATTTGGGCCACATAGCTTCTTGCGCTGCGATGAGCAGTGATAGTCAAATACTGACTACAGGCCCCAAAAATCTTGTATGACGCTAGAACCGCTAGAACTTGAGGTTAAGGCTAAGGCCGACCACACTCTCCAGAGGTGGCGGCCAGCTTCCAGAGTGCAGCATGCTGCTTCTCGAGCTCTTCGCTACTCAACACCCGAAAGCGCCGTGGAAACTTCGCGAGCCGGCCAAAGAACAGCCCTCCGATTGCGCACCGCTGCAGACTGTGCCGAAAGACTGTCTTGGCTGGAGCCCATTGGCCCTTTGTTCACTGAGCCGCCTTTCTTTACCGGCTCTCCTCGGGCGTGGTTAGCATAGTCGTAGTCGTACCGAAACCTTGATATCTGATTTTACCCATAAAGTCCAACGCACCCTTGACCCTGAACCCCATTTACACCCTGAATATCATCACCCCCCGAATCACCGACACTGATCCAATAGAAGGACCCGTGTAGAACCCTGCTAGCACCCTATTCCAAGAATCTGAGCCGTAGGCAATCCGACTTCTTCTGCCGTCGTGCCATCGAAGGGGTCCTAGGCTTGATTTAGGGTTTGGGAGTTTATAGGGGTTAGGGAGTTAGGGTTTAGGAGTTTCGGGTTAGGGGTTGGGGCTTAGAGGTTGGGGTTTAGGGTTTAGGGATTAGGGTTTGCGGCAGGGTTTAGGGGGTAGGGGTTGGGGAGTTTCAAGGGCAGGGTTCGGAGGGCTCGAAGGGTAAAGATCTGAGGTTTAAGGCTTTTGTTTCATGATTACGTCGAAATGGGAGGATTGTTTGGGCCAGGCATGTTGCAAATTCAATATCCTTTTGCTGTCATGCTTGGTGTTTACGGGCTTCAGGGTCAGGCTTTAATCTACAGGTGTTTATAATTGGGGTCAGCTTCCGGGGAGATCATGGTATGTTATACTAGTAGGATTCATTACCCATTCAAGCTTTGAAAACAATGAGTTGGATCCGTGGAGAAACGAGACAGGTGCTCGATATTCTAGCTGTTTCGGGTAGGGCGCCTTGGGCCAAAAAAAGTTTGTGGTGGTTGAAGTATTGGAAGTTCCGTACGGTGGAAGCAGCTGAGCTTGCAATGCTCCATGGGGGGCTTTGGGCCGTGGACCTTGAAAAAGAAGGGTGTATGAGGTGAGAGTCGGAGCAATATGGATGCAAGGCTGCCCCCTGCTCCGCATCATCCCGGATGGCGAGGCGTGGGTTTAAGTTCAAGCAGCGCAGGGTTTCTTCCATCGACAGTGTGACAAAAGCGAGCTCCGTTTATGTTGCCTCAAACTTGCAGGTCTTTGGGGCCTGAGCACCTCCCCCGGCCCTCGAAAACCAAAATGAGGGCCTCAATGAATAGAATCAGAATAGGGTTGTGTGGCATTTTGTGATCAACGTCTAGGGTGGATGGAACCCTAAGACATCGTTTTGCTACCCGACATTGCCTTCGGGGCAATCTGGAAATCTGTTGCCAAGATTCTGTGGCGTCGTCGGCAGCCCAGCGCGGTATGGGCACTGCCTAGCTTAGGGTTCAGGCTGTCACTCACCAAGAACCAAGAGGTCCAGACCGGTCTCATCATTGTTGTTAAACGTGTTGAACGATGGGTCAGTAAAGGCTTCATATCGCCATAGGGTGTAGAAGGAAGTTAGTTTATGCGACTTTCCTTAAGGGCGACTGCTTTCATGATAGTCTGCTTTCCGACCTTATGGCAAGAAATGAAGACGTCTTGTTCAAGAAGAAGCAAGTAGCTCAAGAAGTAGGCATTTCAGTTCAGGGCCTTCAAGTTTCACGGTTCAGGGTGCTTGAATCATTGATGGACAGGTGCGCGTTCAGAAGTTTTTGATCTTGCGGCCTCAAGTCGCTATTCATGGATGCCTGCTATAACAAATATACCCACAGCACCGTCTTAGAACAACTCTTGACGACTCCATCAAACAACCTTACTTGAGACCCTGAACACCCAAGTAGATCCGGTTTAGGGTTTAGGGTTTACCTTAACCTACCGAAACCCTACTTTGGTGTAGGGTCCCTATACATTCCATATTCGAGTTTATAAGAAGAATCTACAAAACACTGGGGTTTGGTAGTTTATGTAAGGTAGGGTTTTAACTTTAAACCCTAAACGCTAAATCGATCCCACAAGACCGAACTCTCGAAACACCGGATCACGTCTGGAACTTCCAGCCCAAACCCCAAACTCTGGAATTTCATCGGCATTCCATTAATCCTCAATCCCAAATAACCTACCTTTTTAAGGACTTATATACAGAATTCATATTAGGGAACCCTAAAAATGCTAGGTTCCTTAGGGTCCAGGTATTCCTCAATCCCTGAATCTCTAAACCTCGAAGCCCCAACGCGAAGACTCAATATAGGCCTGGAGCCCTATGCAGCATGGGCCCCAAAAATCTCGACAAATACTCAAACCCTACCCCTTCGAACATATCCCTTATAGATACCCCCCCTATACCCGAGATCCCTAACCCTTAAAGGAACCCTGAACCCTCAAAGGAACCCGAGACCCGAAGTGCCTCGAAATGCGGCGGTGAGGCGTTTCCCAGACTGAGACCTGCCCCGCTGTTTTCAGGGCATCTTGGGGTTTCTTGAAAGAGATCCTTGAAGGGTACTTTGTAGGATTTCCTCTAAGGCTTCCTTCAAGGGTATCTATAGGATTTCCTTTAAGGGTTCCTTCAAGGGTATCTATAGGATTTCCTTTAACGGTTCCTGCAAGGGTATCTATAGGATTTCCTTTAAGGGTTCCTTCAAGGGTATCTATAGGATTTCCTTTAAGGGTTCCTTCAAGGGTATCTACATGATTTCCTTGAAGGGTTCCTTCAAGGGGTCTATAGGGTTCCTTGATGGGCTCCTTTAAGGGTGTCGAGAACGGATCTATAGTTTAAGGGCTTAGGGCTGAGGGCTTCGAGAATGGATCTGGAGAGTTTAATGGGCTTCGCCCTGAGGGTTGATGATCGCTTCAAGGTGGCTCTTTTGGCCTTGGGGGTTTGCAGTTTAGTCTGCTTGTTTCTCTTCAGGGTGTCGTCTACTATAGAGTCTGGTAGTTCCTTAAACGGAATCTTTAGGGGAATATTATGGTACAGGGCTTGGAGGGTCGTTGTAAAGCGATCGCTTAGGGTTAATCACCTGTCGGAGTCTTACGCTGCCTGCGACATGTACACTGATGCAAAGGGACTTGACACATGATTGGGCTGAATATGTGTTTGGGTTAGCATTCTGTATGTCTGCAAGTAAGGATGTAAGGATATATGTGGGTGGTTGTCAAAATTGTGGCCCCTTTTTGGGTACCCTAACTATTAGGTGCCGTACTATAGTAAGGATCCAAAGAGGGACCCTAATTTTGACAACCACCCATGTGAGTGTCAGCACGCAGCATGTATGATATGTTACGATACGATGCCAGGCGTTGGGATACGATGCGATACGATGCGATTAGATACGAGTTGAATCCTCCCGGACCGCTATAGTAGATCCCAGAGCCTAGCCCCCCAAAGCCGGAACTCTCCCGCAGAAAGAACCCGACGGTTTCAGGCGGCCCCAATCCAACATCCTCCCTCTGTCATCCAGGGAAGTATCCCCATAAGAGTACCTAGGACCCTTTGGGCTACCGAATAAGGCCTACTTAAGGAAGTGTATGGGAGTTAGGATTAAGGGGACCCTTGGGGATAAAGACCCTCTCAATAAGGTCCCTCTTAAGAGAGCCAGAAGTAGGGTTCAGAAGGGGTACCCTTTAAGGGCAAATAATACTACCTAGCATAGTCCCCTACCCCCTCCCCCCACTCCCCTAAGGGTCCCTATGAGTGTCTGTGGTGCCCGGCCCAAACTTGCATCCAACTCATCCAGGAAATCCTCCAGGCGAACCGGGGGGTCTCAGAGAGCCCCAGATCCGGGGTTGAAATATAGCGGCCTTAATCATTCGAATACAGTTTTGGGGCCCTTTAAAGAAATTCTTTAAGGGATCTATGGTGTAAGAGCCTTAATAAATCGAACAGGGTGTTGGGGCCCGCTATTCTAGAATTAGAAAATGGAAACCCGCAACATGGTATAGGTAACTAATTATTAAGGCCCCTATAGTAGGTTTATCCTTGTGAGGGTCCAGTATCCCCTGAGGTCGAAGGTCACGCAAGTAATGGGACGCTCTAGGGTAAGGAATTGCACCTCAGGTACCAAGCACTACTTACATCCCTAAACCCTAAACTAAACCCTAGCTAAGGGATACACGGGTCTCTCTGCGGGGTCGAAAGCTCTGATTTCAGGATTAAGGTATTCGGGTAAGTAGTCATAGTCATGGCGGCGGAGCGTCTTCAGCGCAGAGAGGGTGGATGCTTAGACAAGTCGCGGCAGTCATTCCGAGTTTACAAATCCGAGCTTCTGCTGTGTAGGTTCCGATACTCAAAGGGGAGAAGGAGGGACCCTTAATAAGGACCCCTAGGTAATATACCCTTAACCCTTAATATAGCTATTATACACCCATTATATAGCCCATTATAGGCTAAGGGTCCCCTTTAAGGGTCCCTCCTTCTCCCCTTTGAGATACTGAGTGGTTCTGAAGATCCGTTCGGGAAAATCGTACTCTCCTGTTGGGGTTTCAAGATCACCGCTGCAGAGGCACATGTGTCACAACAAACCATTGGGGCCATGTTAACTGCGGAGAGTCTCTGACCGCGGATGTAAACATATTCATACGAACTCCCAAATCCTAAAGCTATGCATCAAAGCCTGCTAACACAACACCAGCAAGACACCTTAACAAACATCCAACTTCGAAGTATCCTAGACTCGAAACCCTTCAAAACCCCCTAACCCTTCTACCCAAAAGTTATGCACATCCCACTCCTAACTATGCTGGACACCCTAATATAGGGACCATGATATTCAGAATAGGGATTTGGGGCCCATTATACCATAAATATAATAAAGAACCACCATAATTCCTTTGTAGCAGGTCAGTGTTTAAGTAGGCCGTCGAGAAACCTACGCCGAACTGAGAAGCAGTCCTGGCGCCCGCGCCGATTCGCGTCGGTAACGACGACCATCGTCGTGGGGTATGCAAGCAGTGCCTCCAGCCCCGGGACCGCACCAGAACACTTTAGTTAATCTGGCGGGGGCGGGGGGGGGGGGGGGGGATAATTCGCATAAGGTTTTGGGGTATACCACGGTATAATAGTCTGAGGAGGCGTAGGAATCCATGTTCGTAATCGTTCAGCCCCCAGAAATACTACCTGAAATACGAGAGGGATCCTGCATGTGATTGCAAAGTAAATACCTCAATTGATCGCTTTGGGAAGTCTCCAGAGACTCCAATATCCCTTAATTAAGGAATATACCTTAAATTATAGTAGGGATCCCTTATATGATTTAAGGTCTATTCCTTAATTAAGGGATTTTGGAAGGTCTGGGTTTGCAGGAGATGCTAGGTTTCCCAGAGCCCGGTTGACTTGGGTCTTTAGAGCAGTAGGGAAATAGGCGTGTCGGGCTTTAGGGTCTTTGGATTGTTGGGCTTTCGGGATTAGAAATCATAAAAGGCCCCCTTAAGCCCCTTAGACCTTTAAGCCCCCTGAAAGCACCCTGTAGGGCGTAATGGGTCCCTGCTCTTGAGCCCTACTGAGTGAAAGCCTGGAGCCTTATTGAAACCCTTTCCCCCGAACCGCACGTACACCCAAAACCGAACCTAAACCACCCTAAACCCCGAACCTTAAACCCCAAACCCTAGTAAATCAAAAAGCCCCGAACCCTAAACCTGCAGCTTTTGAAAGTCTAAGCTCAGGACGCGCCCAATCAGCACGGCAATGGCACGAGCGACATCGTGCCTTGCAGCTCGACAGCTAGAATAGGGTTCTAGGCTGAAGGGTTCTTAAAAGCGTTCAAGGTACAGGGTTTAGGGTTTAGGGTTTAGGGTTTAGGATTTAGGGTTTAGGGTTTAGGGCCTTAACAGTTGGAAAAGGGTGTTCGGTGATATCATACTGCAGTGAGTGAGTTAGAAGACGGAGAACTATTTTATTAATGATTCAATTGACTGCTTTAGGGCTCTTGGGTTCACAAGGCTTGACCGAGAGTGTCCAGCTAGGCCTTAGGATTGAGGTTCTGGGTAAGGAAACAGGAATGGAACGCCGAGGGTTTAGGGTTTAAGAATGTCCGTGTGTATCTACACTCTGGAATTCGGCCAGGGAGTTCACCCCACTATGGCTTTGGCGACCCAATTCCATAGTAGGTGCATGTGAACCTTCTTTGTCTATGTTTAGGCTTTTACGTATAACTTGCGGCTTTGCTTTGTGCATTCGGGGAGAGCAGTGTTGAGGGGTGACGGCTGCAGAGGGCCCAGCATCTCGGATTTAGGACCACAGGGTCGCTGGGAATTGGGGGTTCAAGGCTTTGGGTTTACCTAGAGGCTCCATAGTAGTTCCTTTTTGGGGATCATATTTAGAATCCTATAAGGTAATCCCAAAAAGGAACTGCTATGGAGCCTATGGGTAGGCCTGGGGTTTCGTGGATTTTGCGAACTGGGGTTTAGCCAAGCAGGAGAAACTGCCTGTACAAGACAGGAAAATACCATGGCATCAACAAGCACAGCTTCAACTTGCGTAACTTGCAGCCCCACTTCAGCCCCCAAAAAATGTAAAAGGGCTTGGAACATGAGTAACATAACTGTGTGTTCACGATCAGACGAGACCGTACCCAACAATAAGTAGAACTATACATTTGGGTTAGGCTTCACGCTTATTTAATATAAAGTCACTACTATTTCATATACAACAATGCATATACATATTGTATTGTTTTAATAGTATGTCTCTCAGACTATGGGGGCTTAGGCTGTAGGGCTGAGGTCGACACGTTTGAAGATAGCATACCGCATGATTGGGATCCAACAACGAGCAACTTGAGCTACCCAAAAACACCTATACGATTCAGGGTCAACGCAACATGGGGGCCTTGATCATATTAATCACTAGAATATGCTTTGGGGGCCCATTTTTCTATAATGATCATAAGGAGCCCCCCAAAATAGTATTGGTATTTGTTTAGGCCCCTATAGTAAACTCGAATCTTTCCACCAGCTTGGGATCCCACTTGTAGAGGCAGTCGCTGCAGACGATGATGTCGAAACGCTCGACCTTGCTTCCGGCTTAGGGCTGAACTTGTATAATATATATATATATATATATATATATATATATGATATATACTATAACATAATAAATAAATATATATATATATATATATATATATGTATTTTTGTGTGTGTGTATATATATATATATCGGCAATGGCGAGGTTCCTTTGTGTAACTTGTAAGTTCAAGGCCAAGGTTCACAGTAATCATACGGTGTTGATGAATCCGGCCGGGGTGTGGAGAATCCCTGTAATATCTACAGGCACACTCAGATTCTTTTCCAGAAGTCTACAGTAGAAGCCAGAAAGTTGGAATATCATTATCGTAACCCCTTTAAGGTAAATTATAGGGATCCTACCATTAATCCATATTCCAACTTTCTGGAGTTCCCTTTACAGTGTTAACATCGCAGAGTTGGGGGCCTCGGTTCATGATGCTTTGAAGAACACCTGAATCCGTGCACAAACAATCCCAAAGGGTCCAAGTAGGGGTATAGTAGGTACTTAGTAGGTATTTGGGCCCCAAAAGTATATTCCACACCATTACTTGGACCCTTTGAGAATAGCCCCAAACCCTCAACAACCCAAAGACCAACCGGACGTGGGGGTGAACTCCTACTGTGCGGGCCTGCAGGTATAAGCTAAGGACTGGAGCTTGCCGGGCTTCGGGCCTAATCCAAGGGCCCAAAGGACCCAATAACTCGGTTTTGGGATAGTAGTTATGTAGGTTAGGAATGTGGGAGAGTATATGATAATAAGGTACTTGGACCCTTAGGGCTAGGGAGTTGAAGATGAATCGGAGGCGTTTAATAGGTTTCCGGGTTTGGGATTCAGGGTTGGGGTTTCCGGTCTAAAAGTAGGGTTAGTGTCAGAGGCGATATTTGAACACGAAGATATGCTTAGTCACATCCTAGACCCAAGAGTAACCTAGAAATGAAAAGGGTGCCCTTTTTGACTTGAAGGGGGTTATAAGGGAACCTGAACCCCCCAAAAAAGGAATAAGGGCTTACTCTGAGTCCTAGCATCGAAGGAGTCGAAGGGTACAGGAGGGCATCCTAATATAGGGGCCTTATGATTAGAATAGGGTTTTTGGGGCCCATTATACTATACTCATAGTAAGGAACCCTCATTATAGTATAGGTAATTATTGAGGCCCCCGAAGTAGACCTCCTCTTGGCACAGATCCTGAGTTCACGACATCCGAGGGGCACGTGACTGAGTTCCTGGCAGCGGGGGTTTGGGGTCTAGTGGTTACAGAGGGTTTAAGTCTAGGGTTTAGGGGTTCGTTTGCAGTTTAGGTTTCGAGCTTCGGAGCTGGGGTGTAGGATTTCCATCTTCCCCTGCTCCGAGCTCAAAATGTGCAAATTAAATCCGTGCGGAACATTTAGGCCACCCCATGGAGTCAGGAATAAATGAAGTCTTGAAGCAAGCATCCGGCTATCCTGGGTTGAAAGCTAATGAGAGTTGGAGGTTGTGCGCTTAAGCACCTTTCAAGCTTGAAGCGCCCAACAAAGCGACTGACTTGTGACGGCTCTTGTCACCCCCTTAAAGGTACGCCAAAATGTAAGGTGCAGTTGTGCAGGGTTGAGGGTTTAGTGGCTAATTAAGGCTTCGGACCTATCATCGGAACTACGTACGTATATACCTTCATCGCTTCGTCCTCAAGCGTGAACACTCAGCCTTCTATACCTTTACTAAAGTTCCCTCACACTCCAGCCTGCCCAGACCCTGAATTGCAGGGCATTGTTTTCATTACGTACTTTCTGATTATGGGATGTTGGAGATATCCCCCAAAAGGAGGTGCTGCACCCCAAGGTCTGGTAAATCCCGAAGCATTAAAAAATACTGAAGCCCTGGAAGCCGTGAGGGCCTGGGGTTTAGGAGTTCATGGTTTGGGGATCACGGTTTCGCGATTTAAGGCTAACTTAAAAGGCCTAAGGTCTATATAGGGCGTAGGCGATGCTAGACATCCGTGCAGCAGACCCCCTATAAAACCATCATCAAGCCTGTAAAACCCTTGAACAGGCCCTTGCGGCAGCCCGTTTGGGTGCCCCTAAACCCGAAACCCTGAACCTGCAAGAGTGATCCTGAACTCTTTTCGGGGCAGGCCTTGCATTGGAATCGGCAGCCTTCAAGACGTCCATCTCAGGGGCGGGAACACATAGAGCCCAATAGGCTTTAGGTGAGGTATGGGGTATTCGGGTTTAGAGTTTAGAGTTGGAGGGGTGGAGCGGTTTAGGGGGGAAGGGAATCAACGGCTGTAGTACAAGACACTGAAGCTTGAAGCCTCGTGCAGTTTCAACGCCGCAAGCCGAACAACAAGCATGAAGCCTAAACCCAAACCCCCCATGCACAACAACTCAAAAGCCTAGACACAACCAAAATGTAGACCTATCACTCGTCACTACTCCACCCTTCTTTCTTTCAATCACTACAGTAGGAAATACTATTCCCTATTAAGCCTTATAGACCCTAATGTCCAGCCCCAGTCATGTATCAGTTGAATTCGAGGAACATCTACGGCTTCTCTATCTTTAGGCTGCCATTTGGCCGACCAGCTTACTGGCTGCTCCTCTGGTCTACAGCCCCAAACCCCCAAACCCTAAATCCTAAAAACCCGAAACCCCTACAAACCCTAAACCGAATTATGGTCTGGGCTTCCGCCCATGCAGTCCTGCGCTCCAGAGAACCCCTCGAGCCGCTATGCGGCTATGCACTCCAATAAGATGCGGCGCACACCAGGAAAGCGGGGCTCTCTTTCCTTCAGCCCCAGTGCTGCTCGCTTGAGCTTTGGAGCAGACCACGCCGGAGATGTGTACATCTGCAGTATGGACTCCGACGTCATTATGTGGCTCGGGCCGCTGTTGACTAAAGTAAAAGCCAGAAAGTTGGAATATGATTATCCTAAACCCTTTATGGTAAATTATAAGGTATCCTACCCTGAAACCATATTCCAACTTTCTGGAGTTCCCTTTATGAGTTCACGAACCTCGGGCGGCTTCGTCCTCGTTCACCTGCGGTTTGAGGTGCCCCCCCTGGCCTGGGGATTGAACTACTCGATATTACTAGTTGCTTAAGAAACCCCCAAAAAATAGAAATAATAATCCCTATATTACCCCCATAAGGAATAAATTTCTTATTTTTTGGGGGGTTGTTGAGCAAATAGTAGGATATTATCTGCTTTCGAAGGGCTCTGCTTCGGGCTTCAGTTTTCGAACGGATTTGGCGTGTTTCTCTTGCGGACATTGGGTTTCGAATTTTGGAGTTTGGGATCTGTAGGGCTCAGCATGTCAGACTTCAGAGTGTTTATTCAGACAACGTTCTAGGAGGGAGTGGTAAGGATACAAAAAGGGTTTCATCCAGGATAAGTGGGGTTCTATAGCGTCTTTAGGGCCATAAAAGTCCCAAAATCATCAGGACCCATTGGCTGGGCACGCCTTCTGCAAGGCAAGCAAGGACTCTTTGCCTAGGGCTCCCAAAAAAGCACATAAGCAAAATCAGGTCAGGGATATCCCGTGTAAACCCCCTTATACAGAACCCCAATACGGTAGGGATATCTCTATAAACTGCTTATGCTTATGTGTTTTTTGGGCTCGTCTAAAGGAGGAGCGGAGCTCCAGCAGAAACTAAAGATGAAGAAAGAAACATATAGGTGGTTCCCAAAATTAGGGTCCCTTTTGGGCTCATTATTATAATATTACGGCACCTAATATTTAGGGTAACCAAAAGGGGACCATAGTTTTGACAACTGCCCATATAAATATAGGCTTAACACACGCAGAGTTTCGGTTCATGGAGGTGAAACGGTTTAGGGCAAAGGGCTTGAGTGCTTTCAGGTTTTGTCATTTTTCGTCCGCCTGTCGAACATGACTACTTGGATTGGGTCAATGTGTTCAATGTTCACGACGATTGTACACCAACGCTATCAAAGTCCCAAACCCCAAACCCTAAACCCAAACTAAACCCTCAAGTCTAAAATTCCAAAACCCCTAAGCCCTACATGCCCTTTCTAGAAGCCTAAAGCCTCAACCTAAACCCTTTGAAAAGGAACCCTAAGGCACTAAACCCTCGTAGATCCCTTCTAGAAGCCTAAACACCCTAAGCCCTGTAGTAAACCCTCAAAACGGAAAACAAAATGCCTAAACCCCAAGCCCCAAAACCCAAAAGATCCCTAAGCCTTTAAAAAGGAACCCTACAGACCTAAACTCCCTAAAACTCTAAAAAGGAATACTACACCCCTAAACCCTATACCCCTAAACCCCTAAACCCTAAACCCTAAGCCTTAAACCCCAAAACCTTAAACCCCGAAACCCTAAACCCTAAACGCCGAAACCCTAAACCCCTAAAGTAGAAGCCAGAAATTTTAAAATATGATTATCCGAACCCTTCTATGGTAAATTTTAGGGGATGCTACCATGAATCCATATTCCAACTTTCTGCAGTTCCCTTTAAACCCCCAACCTGCCAAAACCTACAAAAAAGTAGGGTCCCTATAAATTCCATATTGGGGTTTATAATAGGAACCTACAAAAAGGTCGGTTATGGTAGCCTAAGGTAAACCCCTCAACCCGCAGCCTGCTTCACCTCCAAGGAGCCGGGAAGCTCCTGTGCATCGGCGGCGGCCTGAGGAGTCGCACGGTTGCAAGGCGGGGCTTGAGTTAGGGTTTAGGGCTTTAGGAGTTTTTAGGGTTTTTCAAATTGTTTTGGTGTTTTTGAGGGTTTTTAAGGTTGTTAGGGTGTTTTTAGGGTGTTTAGGGTTTCGAGGTTTAGGGAACCGTTGCGCAGGGGAGCGAAGAAGCTTTAGGGTCTCGTGGTTTAAGGATCTGGGGTTTGAGCTTTGGGGTTTAGGATGTAAATGATCGGGTTCTGAGGATTTGGGGTTTGAGATTTATAAAGTTTTGGCGATTTGGGGTGGAGGATCTTTGGAGATGCGGTTCAGGGTTTAGGGTCTTGATATGGGGGGATGAAGATGAAAAAAACATGGTTTTTGTTAGATTCCATGGGCAGGGGTGTCGTTGCCTTCATCGCGCTTACGAATAGTTTGAACTTGTATATAGAGTATCAGCTACCATCATCGGCGTTTACAGTCCCCGCACCCACCCATCGCCGCCCGTCCCGTCCACCCGCACCCCGATAATGATGATGTTGACGATGATGATGATGATGATGATGGTACAAGTAACATGTAGGTGCTGATGGTACTTCTGTTGTTAGTTGCTGACCATGATTTTGTCGATCTGCTGCTGTGCCGGTGCCGGAACGGCAGGTTCAAACTCATGACTTCGGATGCGGGCGGGTTGCCGTCATTTCTGCCCGAAGCTGCTGTTACTTGTCAATTGCTTCTGCTGGGGCCTCAATAATTAGAATGGGGTTTTGGGGGTTCCTTAGTGACTATAGGTATAGCGTAATATACCTCCAAAACCCCATTAGGTTTGAGAGTGCCACGGAACGTATTATGTTGTTCTGTCAGGTTTTGGGGGTTCCTTATTATTATTGCTATAGTGTAATATACCTCCAAAACCCGATTCGAATGATTAAGGCCCCTATATTCGGCCTGAGGGGAAAGCTGGGCTTGAGGTGAATCCTGGGGCTTCAGAATGTATTCGAATCATGGTAAAGGGTACTCCAGAAAGTTGGAATATGGATTAATGGTAGGATCCCCTATAATTTACCTTAAAGGGGTTACGATAATGATATTCCAACTTTCTGGCTTCTACTGTATGGTATACTTCAAAGCCTTAGTCCAATCATTAAGGCCCTGTAATATTCCTCTTCCCTCTGAACATCTCAAAGCACTGCACCCTGAACCCTTTACACAAAAGGACCCTCCAGGAACTGAACGCCTGCAGTAGCTGCAGCGGCAACTCCTCCAAGTCTGTTGCCACAACTTCAGCTCCTGACGGTGTAGGACGTGGGGCATGTCGCACATATGGGAGTTTCCGAAAATTAGGGGTACCTTACTTTGGGGCCCTTATAATAAGGATCCTACTATTTAGGGTATTATCTTAGGGTCCCCCATGTTCGGAAACTCCCAAACTCACATACCGGTGTAGGACCTGACTACTTTCTGTGATTCAAGATATGGACCGGCTACCCGCTCCTTGGAATGGCTCAGTACCCAGACCTTCCAAAACCCCTTAATTAAGGAATATACCTTAAATTATAGTAGGATCCTTAATATGATTTAAGGTATATTCCTTAATTAAGGGGTTTTGGAAGGTCGGTGTAATTCATTAATGCATAAACAATCGTTTAGGATTGAGGTTTGGGATGCGCACGTCGCACAGCGCACTTCGGCCTCATTGATGGTGCAGGGTTTGGGGTTCGCCTCCAACTTCCCAATCAAGGCCCCAACCCCGAAAGACCCTAAAGTTCGCCCTAAACTCAACCCTCAACGTCGGCCTAGAGCCAGAGCGCAGAGCGAGGGCAAGCCAGAGCCACATCCAATCTCCTGGCAGTGAAAGCTGATAATATACGGGCCTTTAGATTAGAATAGGGTTTCGGGGTACGTTATAGCATGACTATAATAGTAATATGGAAGCCTAGGAAGGCAATTGTTCCGCCTCGATCTTGGTTCCAGGTTGGGGTTATAGGGTCTACGGATTCTTTATGGGAGGGTCCTCTCCGAGGCTTGAATCCTAAGCCCCACGCCCTGGAGGCTAAACCCCAACCCCAAGACAAGTTGCCGAGTTAATCGGCCGCAGAAAGTTGACACTTTTAGCTCTACAAGGGAGTATACCAATTCAGCTACGTTGCTAGGTTGAAGGTGCAGCATTTGCCGCATTGAAGCTTCGCTACCCTGGAACCCGTACATCGCAAATCCTAAAACCTAGACTCTATACTCTGGAACTCTCAAACATGAGATAAGCCCTAAACAGCCAGAGTGGCCAGCATGCGAATGGTACCGCGCCTGCGTTTGACTCGCGGGCTGAGGTGAAGGGGAGAGATTTAGGGTCTATAAGGGCTTAGGGTTTAGGACTCAAGGTCTATAGGGTGAAACTCTCTTTTTCAACAGCCAGGCCAAACAAGTTCAATCTTTCTAAGATACACGAAATATATAAGGCCAAAAAGTTTAAAGTTCTTCCATTGGCTATCTAAGGAAAGGGTAGGGTTTTGGGTTTGAGGTTTAGGCACGGCGGTTTCGTGCTTCAGGAACATGGGACTTCGTGGTATCACCATGGGTATTCTCTAGGCTCAGTATTGCAATTTCTTTGCGCATAAAATCCTCGGTAGACAGGTTAGGTGTCCAGAAAGGGGAGGCATGGTATAGTGGTGCCCCCCGAAACCTTACGAACGGAATAATCATTGATCTCCATGTGAGCTTTCATTTGGGTTGCGGGGGGTTGGAGTTGAGGGCGTTGGGTGCTGAGGCTTGGACACTCAAGATACATGCATAGAACTCATAAGGTTGAGCTCGTTTTAAGATTGTTGTCCATTGAACAGAAATCTCGAAGTTCTATCTCCGTTGAATACAGTGAATAAAGAAAGCAGACCCTTCACCAAACACAAAGCCGTGAACTGGAGCACAGGTGTCGGAAGAGGGATTGAGTCCCTGGCGAGCCCTGTCGGTTACAGATGCGCATGACCTCAGCAGAACCCGTCATCTAGCTAAGTTTGAAGGCTCAGGGTTTTGTTTTCGTGTTGGGGCTTACCGGTGGTCTTAGTGGTTGAGGCATCTAGAGTTCATTTACGTCTCAGGATGCAACTCAGTGTTTCACACTCACGGATTGAAGCAAAGCACTGGTAAGTTCAGACCACAGTTGGCTATAGTAATACAGCTTTCTCAGGGTTATGCTTTCCTTTGCGGAAACCGCAGATGTACTATAGGAGTTGGGGGATGTAGAGTTAGGGCTTGGGGTGTATGCTTTCGATTGGCAATATCAAGCCTCCTAGAACTCGTCTCAACTTAAGGCAATATAGGTGCTGTCATGATAAATTAAACTATGGGTTTCGGGCAGTTTCTGGTATTACTACTGTCAACTACGTTGGGACCACATACCACCTGTTCCTAAACCCTAAACCCTAACCCTCAACCTTAGCGTAAACCCTAACCTACACCCTAAAGAACCGTTTTAGGGTTCCCTATTATGATTTCCTTATATAAGTCCCTAAAAAGGTAGGTTCTTCAGGGTTAAGGTAACCTACACCCTAAACCTGTAGTAGTCCCAAGGTCGGTTCACTGCCCCAGATTGCTTAGCTTGGTGTCCATGTACCCAAAGAGACATAGTCCATTGGGTAGCTTCTCTATAAGAGGATGTCTTACGGTTACGGTCCGCTTTATAAGGCTGCCGTACCTTTGTGGACCAAGACAGGACCCTAATGTAAAGCACTACCCATAAGGGTACTTCTCTAAACTAGGATGTCTTTTCAGGTTATTGTTGGAAGGATGCCGTCTTCTTTGGGGTTGCAAAAACGGGAACCTAATTTGCAGAATTACCGATGTAATTACTTACTTTGGTCCCAAAGTACCTATACATGCACAACTTTAAGGCCAAAGTCCATACTATTTGGGGTACATGGACCGTTAGGCCTAGATAAAAAGTGTTCTGAGCAAGCTCACACCTCAAACCCCAGCTTGACACTCAACCCTCAGGCCTAAACCCAAACAAAATCCTAGACCCGCTGACCCCGCTCTAACTCCAAACCCTGAGCCTCAAACCCAAAGACCCTAAACCCCCTAATAAGGCCAAACTCGAAGACCCAAATCCCAACCCTGAACCCTAAACCCCACAACCCGAACCAGATCCCTGAATGGCCTAAAGCACTCTATCCAAGCCTTACCTCTCGGTCCCACACACGCTGCGCGGCCGTCCACGCAGCGGGCCACACACCCAGCACACCGAAAGAATCACCTTGAGGATTTAACGTTTAGGGTTTTGGGTTCAGGGTTTATGGGGTTTAGGATTTACGGCTTAGGTCCGGAGTTTACGGCTGCGTCCCGTAACATGCGCAACTTGATATACCCCTATGACTATTCACGGACATGATCTACTCTATATTCTGCAAGGTTTGGGGTTTCAGGTGGGTCGTTCAAACCTCTAGCGATCAGGGTTTGTTGGTCTCAATATGTTAAGTCTAAGGTTAGTTCGCAATCAAGGGTTTACTAGAAGATACTCTAGGTTTGGTCCGTTTGGTCCAACACCGGACGGGATCTCAACTTGCGAAGAGGAAATTGTAAGTTCTTATGGTTTTTTGTTATTATATTTATTTAAGCAGGGCGAATGGACGATAAGAGGGCTGTCTGTGCAGGATGTAAGATGTAAGTTTAGGGTTTGGGCTTGGGTTTAGGGTTTAGGGTTTAGGGTTTAGGGCTAAGATTAGGGTTTGGGTTTCGCACTTTAACCTTCGAGCTTGGGACCTTTTGGAATCGTGGACAAGGGCTTGAGAAACTTAGGCGTCAGGACTTGTTGGCTGACGGTTGAACCCAAATTAATATCCCCCGACCGGTTAAGCTTTGGTTTGGTCAGCCTTAATCTTGGCAAATGTTTGGTCGCCCGTGATCAAGCCGCAAGCCGTGATTTCAGGCCACGGCGTGGTCACGGGGTATTTAGTCACAGGGATCTGTGATCACACGGGTGCAACTAATCACGGGCACCTATCAGCGATAACACTTGGCAGAACCACTGCCGGATAAATGTGATCACGGAACATCATAACTATCATAACAGGGACATAAATCAGGAACCCCTGCAGGATAATTATGATTCTATGGTCATAAACATGTTGACCCAGAAGACAAAAACGATCACAGCCTGCAAACAGGATAGGCTCGGAATGGGGTGCAGGCCTTTAGGGCTTTAAGGCTAACAGTGAGGTGGACGGTCAACGCTTCGGGTCTAAGGTGTGGCAGTTTAGGGTGTTTACGTTGGCCATAAGCCCTGAACAATCCACGGCCCTAGAGTTCTCTAAATTCGAGCCTCTTTTGGGACCTTTTTTAAAGATTGCCGACTTTAGTGGGTTTCTTTTTTCTCAAACCCTAAACCCTGAGCCCTTATTTACACAGCTACCCAAGCTACACCCAAGCTCCCGGCGCAGGTGGGAGATTGCCATCTGCACAGCCGAGAAGACCTGGGAAAGCATGAAAAGGCTAAAGGGTACCTGCACAGCACTAAGGTCTTATATACAGCCAGTATGAAATAAGGCCCAACCAGATCATCCCTATCATGACTTGCAGTAGCCTAATTTCATGGTAGAAGTATGTATGGAGCCTCTGCGTCCTACAGGCCTAACATCCCTGAACCCTGTAAGCCGAAAATCCCTAAAACCCTCCTCCGAACCCTCCCCTCACCCTAAGGCTCCATGTACCCATCTAGTATATACTTAAGCCTTAAAGTACCTATATAGAGACTACTTTGGGGCTTAAGTATCTACTATGAAGGTACAGGAAGCCTTTGGGTCAGTGGCAGACCTGCGGCTGCCACATCACCGCATCCATGCATTCCTCATCCTCGCATCCAGAGGCTTGGTTACCCCTATCCCTCCAAGGACCTCATAGCTAGGGCCCTAGACCCCTTAAGGACCCCATAATAAGGTCCCTGGAGGGATAGGGGAAGGTTCGGGGACTCCAGGATCTACAGGGTTTCGGGGGGGGGGGTGTGGTATATATAGAGTCTACAATCGAGGCTAGTTACATTACTTCAGCTGCTAAGGTATAATATGGTGCTTTATTTACTCTAGACCTAGTCGTACAGTATAATAAGGAAACCCAGAACCCTATGCATATTATTCAAGCCCCTACATTAGCTTAGGGTGTATTGGAACCCCGCAGCTCCATTCCGGGGGTCCTCTGCATCTGACACGACGAGCGCGCTGATCCTCAGTGGGACGAAGCTGCCAAGGATTCCGGGCTTGGGGGCGCTTAAACCCCTGCACCCCAACCCTAAACCCTAAACCCTAAACCCTAAACCCTAAACCCTAAACTAAATCATCCGATACCCAACACCCCACCACCTTCAACCCCAAATCCGAGACTTAAAACCCGAAGCCCGAAGGCCCTAAAGCCCGAATAAACTCTAAACCCTAATAAACCCTAAACCCTTGAACCCTAAGGCTCCATGTACCCATCTAGTATATACTTAAGCCTTAAAGTACCTATATAGAGACTACTTTGGGGCTTAAGTATCTACTATGAAGGTACATGGAGCCTTTGGGGAAGGAACCCTAAACCCTGCACTGCACCCTTGGCATTGTTTCCCGCCAGGCAACGAGGATCGTCCAGGCAGTGGTGGCTCAGGGCTAACGCAGACTTCCTGCAAGGTAACTGCCCCCAGGAGGTTTAGGGTTTAGGGTCCAGGGTGTAGAGTTTCGGCGGGGAACATGAAACCAACTTTGATCTTTCGGGCTTTAGCCTCCCCAGACATTCCAAAACTCCTTAATTAAGGAATATACGTTAAATTATAGTAGGATCCTTAATATGATTTAAGGTACATTCCTTAATTAAGGGATTTTGGAAGGTCTGGGTCTTCCAGCTTTGAGGTACAAACTTGAATCGCTAAACCCTAAACGTTAAACCCAATACTCCCAGCGTTCAGAATGACATACGGTTGATGATATAAATCCTGCACTACCCGTAATAAGGAATATACCATAATTCCCATAGTTTAGGGTCCTTAAGGTAATGCAGGATTTGTATCATCAACAGTAGGTGTCTAAACAAGCAGTGTCTAGAGTTTAGGGTAGACTACGGCTTCAGATGTGGACCTCAGTAATTACCCAGAGGCCCCAAGGGTAGCTCCTTTTTGGGATTACCTCATAGGACATAGGATTCTAGATATGAGCCCCAAAAAGGAACTACTCTGGGGCCTTAGGGTAGTATTGGAATGTGATTGGGACGTATTCTTCCAACCCCCATCGCAATAGCAAGCAATGAGAACCCAACATCTGAACATTTGGATCTTGTAAGCGCGACCCAGATATCGCCTGCACACCCTAAATAAATCGTTGTCGAAATTATGGTCCGTTTCTGGGTCCCTATTCTAGTACGGCACCTAGTATTTATGGTACCCAAAAAGGGACCCCAATTTTGACAACCACCCTTAAATGCTAAATCCAACAACCTGAAACCCGGAACTCTGACCCCCGGACACTAAAGCCTTCCACCCGCCCAGAAACCTAAACCCTAAACCCTGTGCCCTATACGAAGACACGTAATAACCCGAAACCTAAGCGACAAAAGGCTCTGCCCTTCGGGCCAACATTCCTAAATCGTAAAACCGAGACCCCCTAAACTCTAGACCTACCCCCTCCCCCCCAATGGTTCCTCCTCCCCCCCTGTGGTGTGGTGTGGTTGTGGGTTGCTTCGCCCTCCCTGTGGTGTGGTGTGGTGTGGTTCGGGAGTGGGTCTGCTTGGGCTGGTTACCCCACTCCCCCCTGTGGTGTGGTGTGGTTTGGGTTTCCTGCGTGGGTCTGCTTGGCGTGTGAGCCCTCGTGTGGAAAAAGCTTGCACAGTCACACACAGATTCGGCTTGGGGAGCGTGGGGGGGGGGGATACCATTGGGGGGGGGGTCGGTGAACCGAGAACCGGGATCATATATTCCGTACTCGGGTTTACACTCAGAACCTACCATAAAACGGTAAGCTATGGCATTGAAACTAGACTCTATCTAAGCGGAAAGCTAAAATGCAATGTCTCCGGGCCTGCAAGAAAGTAAGTTATGGTAGTAGTTTACAGAAAACTTTTTCTAAACCGAAAGCTAACACGCAAATTCTCCGGGCCTGCACTCTGTAGCCATGCACCTGACTGGGACGGTGGCGGCTTGGACGCTGGCGCGGTTCCCAGGCGCCGGGCTTCGAAGAGATGTAGAGTTTATTATTAGGGGATTTAGGGTTTAGGGTTTAGGCTGTGTAGGGGTTTCACAGTCTTGACCTCCGGTCCCAAGCGCTGCTTGAGGTAATCGCAGCTCTTCCGGGGGGGTGAGGACGGGACAGTCTGAATCGATTGAATCGTTGGAGTGCGGTTTTTGGATAAATTGTACAGTAAATCCGATGAGGCTCCAGGCTTAAAGCATCTAATTAGAGCATGCGTAGGAGCCGCAGGCTTCTGCGCACCTTTGGTTTAGGGTGTAGGGTTGGGGTTTGGGGGTCTAGTTGGTGAGGCTTCAGGCTGCAAGGTTTAGGGGAGAACGTTTAGTCACCCAGAGGCCCCAAAGTAGTTCCTTTTTTGGGATCACTTTATAGAATTCAAAAATATTAACCCCAAAAAGGAACTACTTTGGGGCCCATGGGTAAGTGTTTTTGGGATTAGCGGTCGCTGTTCGTAGACAGGTTGGCTTTAAAGTAAGTTCCTTGCTCCCTCGATGCTTCCGACGTGAAGCTCGTAACGAAGGGCAGGGAATCCCCGAATGGAGTCTGTGCTTTGAAATCCTGATACCCTAAACAGACCTACCTTTACCACGGCTCCTCGGGCAGATACGGGCAGCAGGTGTCTTGGCCGCGAGCTCTTAGGCTTGAGGTCTCGGCAGGGGATAGAGATTCTTCTGTGGGTTCTGTGTTTGGGGAATTCTATACTGAACTTAGAACCCTGCAACAACTATAATTTTAGCTGTTTCTTAGGGATTATAATGACCAAAAATTTAGAATTGTTTCTATATAAGTGCCCCTAAGAATTGTAGTTTGAGGGCTTGCGGCTGCCGGAAAGTGAGACCTTCCTGTGATCCCTAAACCCTAAACCCTAAACCCAAAACCCTAAACCCTAAACCCTTCTCACCAACTTGGGGTCTTCACAATGCTGAAGTAAACCTCTGTAGCTAGGTGGGGCTTTTAAAGCCTTTGAAAAATATTAGTAAATAGGATCCTCTTATTCCCAATAAGGGAAAATATAAAATGTCCCAAAGCTGAAGTTTCCCAGGCTACCAGCTTGGCACGTCTAGTTACCGGTCAGTCAACCCTTGTGACCTTTTTCCACGGGGGACTTGGGCCAAGTGCGATCGCGTAAAGACGTAGCTAAGGACCATAGGAATAGCAATGGAGGCAGGGTAAAATCTACACCCCCCTCGCCGTGCTGCTCGAGCTAAGGCGGATAGTACATGGCTCCAGGTTGCCCTGGGCTTCAACGGTTTTGAAGACTTGCCAAAGCGAGCATTTATAAAGCACAACGGGGAAGCCCTGCAGGTCCGAAGCAAATCAAAATGAGGACTCAGCGCCTATGGGTGCGGTTCCATGCATCCCACTCGGCCTGAGTGTAACCTCCACGACGCTGGCGATAGTACTCGTCCCACTGGGCCTGAGTATAGCCTCTGTACATGGGCTCAGGTGCTGTCGTGCGACCACGTCCCTTTTGGGATGGGCGGTTCTGGACTGCGGCCTGGCGATTGCGCTCTGCCAGACGTTCCGTTTGGTCTGTCTGGTTCTGAGCACTACGGAGGCTATCGGTAAGAATCTGTCCGATCTCAGTTGTGATGCCTTCAATTGTGGTAGCCGACACGTAGACCTCGCCGTCGAAAGTCAGGATCCTTTTTGCAGCGTCATTCACTGCTGCCACCTCAGCATAGAGGCGCGGAGGGAGGAATGCACCGAGGTAGGTCAAGCCGATGGGGACATCCGCGGTATCATCGATAAACCGCAAGTTCCTCAACGGCTCCACTTCGCAGTGGGCATAATAGACCAGCTTCGCAGGCGGGACATTGCCACCACCATAATGGGAGCCGGCACGCAAGTAGCGCTGCTCCTCGCTGCGTCCTGGATCGGGAAGCACAGCGTTCGACAGGTGATCAAATTTCTGCATGTCCTCAAGGCTGCGGCCCTCTTGCATCATTCTCACGTTGAACTGCGCGTCCTTCTCGAAGCGGTCGGACACGGTGTCGAAGTTCAACTTGGCGGCCCTGATCTTTCGGTCTTTGGCGTCACGAATGGCGGCAGCCTCTGCGCTCATCTGACCACGTTTCTTTGGTCCCTCGCCCAGGCCTCGAAGGTCACTCGCAAGGAGATCATCGATGGGCTTCTGGGCCCCGGTCGCAGCGGTGGCAAGAAGGCGCTGGCGGAGTCTCGAATTCTCAAAGACTCGCTTTGTGATTTTCTTAGAGTCGTCCGTCTGGGGAGCCTTGCAACGGAGGCAGAACAGCATGCCATTGGCAACGACTGCTGCGCACTCGCGGCGTGGGTGAGAGCCAAGTGGGTAAGGCTCATCCTCACCCGCATCCGTTGTGTCACCTTCATCGACTTCGACTTCGACCTCAACCTTGGTTTCGTCAATGTCGAATGCACCAGCAGCATCAGCAGGCTCACCCTCGCGGGTGGCTTCATCCAAGTCCATGCTTTCGTCCTTTTCGGCGATTGCGGCGGGCTTGGGAACCACCTTCGGCATCTTCTTTGAAGTAATCGCTTTGGGAGCGATAGCCGCCTGTTTTGGGGGCGGTGCCGTTGATGAGCTTGCTGCTGCGGCCTCCTCATAGTCGCGCTTTGCGCGGAAAATGCGCTCTGGCTCACCCTCGCGGGCGGCTTCTTTGTGCTCGGCGACATAGAGCGGGAGGTTCTTTTTGCTGGTGTCGATGGCGGACAGCACGCAATCGGGAGGCACATTGTCCCGTGTGAGGACGCCGTCGGTCTCCGTGACGAAGAAAACGCATCCAGCGGCGATTGCACGCTGCGTGTCTATCGTCAGCTCGATCGGCTGGTTGGAGCGCATTCCACTCTTGTAGTGGGTGTCGTCCAACTTGTACGGGGACAGGTAGTTGTGGGACCTGTCTGACCTCGCGGAGCCGGCGATCATTCCATCGCGGAGGATACCCTTCATTCCCTTTTCATTCGTGCGGTGGAAGAGCTTCGGGGGGGTATCCTCGCGGGAGAGCACAGTGACCCCCCTGACGCTGCTCTGCAGGTCGGCCTCGTACTCGGACAATCCGCTGTAGAACCTGGTCGCGAGGAAGAAGTCCGCGTCCGGGTTATTGCCGATGAGCTTGGAGTTATGCCCTTGGGCCATCCTCACTCTGACAGGGAATAGCGGTTGACCCAGGGTGTCCTTCATGGGGACATCAATGCCCAAAAGTCTGATCCCTCCCTTATTATCCGCTTTCGCTGCGCGTAGCAGCTGCCTCACACCCCAGCGTGCGTTCCGTGCCGTGTTGAAGACCTGGAGCAGAGTGTCAACGTCTGCCCAGCACCCACGGTCAAAGATCAATGCAGGGAAGTCGTCCATTTCATGGCCACGCAGCAGCTTGGTGAGGAACTTCAGGTCACCGTGTTTGAATGTCACGTGTCTGTCTCCCACAATGTCCTCCGGGTTAAAGGGCTTCATCAAGTGCTTCTTGCCGTTGTAGAAGTACTCATTCGGAAGCTCTGGCACAGTGGCAGCCCCTTGCGGGGCGCTTTCATCAATGAACATGAGCCTTCGCATGGCGTCCTCGTCTCGATCAGACTTCTTAGTCTTCTTCGGAGGCGCTGGCTCAACAACACGTCCAATCGATGAGGGGATAGGGTCGACCTGGTCGCCCTCGTCCACCAGCTCCACCGTGCCCGGGGTGTTGTAGGACACCTTGCCGTCTGCGTCCTGGGTGACGATGTCATTGACGCATTCCGCAACAGCACTGACGTCAGTGGTTGCACCGATCCTTGGCACATCCTTGCGGATGGCTTTATCCATGGGTGGCCCCTCGGAGATCTTGGTGACGTCGGTTGCGTCAGCGGCATCTGGGGCTTCCCACATCTTGTCCTCCTGGGTGACCGGCATTGGCTTGGCCTGTTTCGGGTTCATCAGCTGGTCCTTCTCTGCACGCCATTGCTTGAAGACATCCTCGAGCACTGGATTGTTGGCATCGGAGCCAGTCTCAAAGTGCTCATAGCGAACAAGCAAAGCCCTGACACAGGGTGCCATCTTCTGGGCAAGCCATTCGCTCCTGCTTGCATTGAAAGTCGCATGCAAGTAGGTCTGGAATAACTCGCGGTTGCGAGGATCTTCGCTGGCGTGAAAGCTGTCATACATTTCCAGCTTTTCGACCAAGGAGCTTGCGGTTTGCACTTGCAGACCGCGCTGCCTGAACTCTTCGAACATAGCGGCATTGAAGTCGTTGTAGGCTGAGTGGAGTTGGAACAAGTCCGCCTCCACCTGCCCAATCACCTTCACAAAACCAATGTCCGGCTCGCCCGCGAGGGCGGCTAAAACATCTGCTGCCCTTCTCACTTTCCGTGCGACGGTCTCCGTTGTGACATTGGGATCTCTGTGGGCGAGTCCCGGTCCTAGCCGCGTGGGGATGCAGCCCCACTGGCCGGAGATCTCGTTCCCGCACCACCAGCAGATCACGTCGATGGTGTGGTCCGGATAGTTGCTCCGGAGCTCCTTCACGTGCTCCTCGACCTGCCAGACAATCCACGCCAAGGTTTTACCCCAACACATAGTGTAGCGAGTCTGTGCCCATCCCAGCGTCCAGCTTGCGATGTTCACTTCCGCATCCAAGTCGGCCTTAACGAAAACTCCCCGCCTGTTCTTCTTGCAGAGTGCAGTGGAGCTGTCTGACACGACTATGATGGCTCGCTTGGCCTTGGGGCTCAACCTTGCGGTTGGCTTCAACTTGGCGAGCCCCTCGTCACTGAGGTCAGCCATCTGGCGCAGAGCCACACAGGTTGCGTCGGCATGGGTCAAGGATACCCCAGCCGCGCATTGTGTGGATACGCAGCTGTACGCCGACTCCAAGAGCTGGCTCTCATGATCGGCGCCGAGCGAAATGATATCGTTGTTGAGGGCGGCGGATTGGAGAATGGTTTTCATGGCCTTGGTAACTCCATTCCTGTCTGCTTCGGAGGTGTTGACCCTGCAGAACTCGTCGCTCACAACGATGGCTGCCATCTTGGGGATCGTAGAAGTCGCTTCGGGCAAGTCGAGAAGATCAGAACCAGCTGAAATTGCAATGGCAGGCGTGCACATAAAGAAAGCCAAGATTTCATGGTCAAGGCTTGCAGTTTGTTGTGTGTTTGTGCACTCGAGCGATGTGTGTGCAAACGAATCATTTTCGAAACGAGAACACGGTTTGTTAAGCCTACCCCCCTCATCGAGAGGGGAACCAACACACCTCAAACAAACCATTGCCTTCTGAGCTGGGAGCTTCAACTGAGCCGTAGGCAAGAGGAACTGTGCTTGATGTAGGAATTGCTTTTGCTTTTTGTTGAACTTCTGGTACCCCCCTGAAAAGTAGGCGATGAAGGAATGTCGTTCGCCAGTGTAGGGTTGTACACCATGTTTTGTCGATGGATGCAACAGAGTAGGCTTGCGGTATGTGTTGCAATTGTAGCCTTTGTGGTCTTTGCCATGATCATCTGTGTATATTCCCGGTGGTCCCAGCTGGCTCGCGCCCTCAATCCACAGTGTCCCCCCTGTATAGTTACCGAAGGAGAACGTCAGGTTGTACGATTCTTTCTGATTGTACTTATCCGTGTGAATGCGGGCCTTGCCATTGAAGTTGAACACGAACGAAGTCCATGTAAACCCTTTCGGAGATGATTGCTTAACAAATCCATTCACATACCTGCAAATCCATGGGTAATGTTTTGTGCGGTTGGTAATACCAAAGCACCCACCATGGACCCAAGCGCCGAATACCAAGTATTTGGATAGATTCTCAGAAGCCATAAACGATCGTGGTTTTGCCATTGATGCCTTGAGATTGGTACGAATAAGCCCAGCTAGCTTCTCGAAGGTCTTGAAGCTGTAATCGTTAGCCTCGAACGATTGTTGAGCGAAGTCCTCGACAACCTTTGATGCATCCGGAGCTGCTGCTACCGAAACCTTGTTGTCCTCGACCTTCGACTCGGGTTTGCACCCGGCTACGTTCGCGCTGGTTGTATGTCCAATAAGCTTCAAGGCATGCGTCCACTTATTCTTTTCAGTGAAAGGCTTCGTGAACACGTCCGCCACTTGTTCGGCTGTACCAACATTCAGTAGCTTGAAATGCCCAACCTCATATTGCTGCTTTAGCCATGAGAAACTCACCCTCTGTGTCCGATCAGTATGTCGTAGAACACCAGCTTGCCCTAGCAACAAAAGAGTGATTGTCGCCTGGTTATCCTCCATATGTCTAACCTCGAAACTTTCAGGAAGTTGGACACAGAGGCCGTTGATGTCTGCGATTGACAACCCATCCGGTCTAGTGGACCCATAACGAATTTCGTCAAGTTCAGGGTCAATGCGTGCAACTATCGAATCCACCCTCTCAGCCCTTGGCTCGGCCTTGCGGCCGGCATCTCCACGCCATAGGAAATACCACAAGCTCAGGCAAGGTAGACCTTCGGCACGTAAACCGTGATTCGCTGCTACAACTTCGGACTCAGTAGAGCTCATTGTAATAGATGTTTGTTTCTTGCTGAAGGCATTGAGGGGAAAGTACGTGTTTGGTCCAACCAAAAACATCGCACATCCTGTAGTCGATTTTGAATCGAATTCGCCCGCAAAGTCGGAATCACTGAACAGCCACAGTCTGCAATCCATTATGCTGTCGCCTATGAAACCGCTCATAGTGACATCAAGCGAAGAGTTTATGTAGCAAACCAACCTGTGAAGTCCCAAGTCGCAATCTGGACTCCACTTGGTCACCCTCGACGCCAAAGACTGTGTTGCCCTTAGGAGATCCCATCTGGCCATGCGAGCAGCGAACAAAATCTTCATTAGTACCTTACTAGCAATAGGTTGCAAGCGCCCTGCCTTCTCTCCTTCGGAAGCTGTTGGCAAAGCCACACGTAGCTCATGGAAGGGGGTTGCAGCTGGTTTCAGGGTCTTACGCTCTACCTTAGCAAGCTCGCAGTACCGATCAACGCAAGAGTCGAGAAAGTCCTTCATATCGTACGTGATGCGAGTGACTGGCTTGGTCATTGCACCGGGCTTCTCTTTAACGTCTTGCGACAATGTAACAAACTTGCTCTGCTTCGCCTCCTTTTTAGCCTCAGACTTGTTACGAACCGGCTTGCCCTTGCGGGCAGCTGCAACTGCCAGTTCGAAATCAGACTGTTCCCGGCCTGCGAGGTCGAAGTAGGTTTCGCCGTCCCACCAATCCTGAAGACAGCGATCGCGCATTTGATTGCAACTGTCAACAACAACTTCCTCCGACTCACCCTTGCGGGTGGCTTTAGCCACCACAGTGTATCTCCGAGGGCCAATCCCCGGGAACATTCTAGCATCATCCTCGTTGGGGACATAAAGTCTTTTGCGAGGATAACGGTGATGTCGGATTGCTATGAGATTCTCGGGGTCAATGTCCCAATAGTCTTCTTTTCTAGCAGGAGTTGCAGCTGATGATTCGGGCTCAAACACGTGACGAAAAGGGTGTGCTTCCTTGGGCAGCTTGAGGTTGTGTTCTTCCTTGTGCATGCACCCAAAGTATCTACCAATGGCTTCCGGAAGATCCATATCAATGACGCTCGAGATCAAGTCCCATCCCTCCTTGATAGAGTTCTTAGGGCCAGCGAGTTTAAAGTCATCGACGTATACCACTAAAAGCAGCTTCTTCTTCGGGTGGTAGAATACACTCTTCCAAATGTCAGTCAATACTGCCTCGAACCCGACTTTCTTCAACTCAGCTTCGCAGTGATGTTCCCAAATCCCCCCTGAATCGGGGTGTCCGTAAAGTGCCAACTTGAGTGGAACAACAGGATCTTTCATGCCCTGCCATGCCTTAGGCCAGCGATTGCGAGGCAACCGTACCCAAGTGGCAACCCCTTGGAACAAGGCTTGGGTGTATGCTTGCTTGGCGTCGGCTTGCCGGATGATGTAGCCCGGTTGTGAGCCAAAGACGTCAAGAATCTTTCCTGCTTCCATAGATGCAGGACTGCTCGACATCTCCGCAAAGAGCGCGTGATCGGCGTTTTCGTCAAGTACTTTATTTCCCTGAAATACCGAACGTCCCTTATACTTACGGTTAGGGTCGCCTTCTTTCAGCTCGGCTCCCTTTAGGGTACCAATCTCAAAAACATTGCCAAAGTGAACCTTGGTTTGAGATTTCTTAGCTTCGTTGGCAACCGACTCGAACTCCCTGACTTTGCCTTGTACCCAGCAGCCCTTGTCAACCAATTTCTGCCATTCTTTGTCCATGGCAGCCTGCGCCTTAGGGTTTGTTGAAATCTCCTTAGACGACAGGACCTTGGCGACAACAGCATACATCTCATCTGCGATCTGAAAAAGCTTCTTGTCATATAGCCCTTTGAGTCGTTCCCGATGTTCCTCGCTACACCCATGTAGGACTGGCATTGCAGGTACCACCTTTACAGCTTCACGATACAGTGCCTCATTCTCCTCATGTAGCTTCTTCTCATGTTCTGCAATTGCTGTTGCTCTTTGTCTTTTCGACATAGCCTTCCATGCAGTATGATCAATAGCGTTAGGGCGGTTCTTGTTGTTCTTCTTGACCAAACATTCCCCACTCCACGTATAACCATACGGTGGTTCTTGCGCTGCTACTGCTGCGCTGGACTTCAGCTTCTGCTTCACAGAGAACGGAACATCATCAAGCAATGCTGCACGGGAATCAGACTTTGACTCACCCTTGCGGGTGGCTTCTTTCGCGTCCTTCGGCGGAGGATCTTTATCACGATCAGGACCAAATAGCTCTGGGAACATTTCATCCAGGTCTTCGCTAAGTTGTTCCTGAATTGTGGCTTCATCGTATCCCCCCCCTTCCTCCAGAGGAGGATGCGGGTTTTGCTCATCAAGGACATTGTGATGTTGTGCATCAAGGCTTGGTGGTTTATCCAAGGCAGGCTCTTGCAACAAAGGAAACTTAAAGTCACCATCTGGTAGCTCCAGTCTTTTAGTCCGAAACACACGTAGGTCTTCGTTTTCCAACGCGGCTTCGATGTTGTGTAGGGGAGCAACAACGTACTCGAGCTTGAAGATAAAACCAGGTTGGATGTGGTACCCAAGGAATATACCTTCAATCCCTGTGCCAGAAAACTTGGATCGTTCAGGCTTGCGTTGCTTCTTCGGGGCCCAATAGAGGACTTTCGCTCCAAAGGGAATACGCATGCCGTTGAACTTTTCACCGTACCTGATTTCCCACGGAATCTGACCATTGTCAATCCTCGCAGTGATGTTAAGACACATAGCATGATGTTGCGATGCAAGAGGCCAATAGCGATCTGGAAGTCCTGATTGCACTAAATTGGCCCGTGTGCCTTCCAAAATGGTTCTGATTTCTCGCTCGATTACGGCCTTGTTTTCGTTCACATACTCTCTAGAAGTGTTGTGACGAGCGCGAAGCTGTCTGGCCGCAAAGTCAAACTCCAACGCATTGTCGGAATATATAACCTTTACCTCATCATCTGTACCAAGGAAGTGCAACATGTCTTCGTAGCACTGCTCACCAGACTTTGTCTTGGAAGGGTACACGTATCTAAACTTAGAATACACGTCCTTCACAACATGAGCCACGGTTTCATCTTGGAACCCGTAATCCTTGGCATCAGCGGTCACGATGTGATCTACTGTGATGTGGTCACCGAACGATTTACTGTAGATTGTAGAGGATCCACCAGATTTACGCGCCTGGGGCGCATACATCTTGGCCCTTTGGCAAATGGGGCAGAACGGATTCTTTGGTCTATGGGTAAGTCGATGTTCCAAAGACACAGCCTCAGCCCTCAAGGAAGCTTCATCCTTCTTAGACTTTGGCATTGTGTATGGCTCGACATCGCTGTCGGCTTGCGCCTCAACTTCCCCTTCAGGCAAAGCAAACAATGTGATAGTCGCAATAGTCCCTTCAGGTACTTCCCCATAGATTCCGTCCAATTCGTCAATGTTGACTGAATCCTCCAACAAAGACCACACGTCATCCTTGAATCCCCAAGTAGTCCGGATTCTATACCTTGGGAACTTAGGAGCCGGTGTTCGAAGCGTCTTTGGGAAATGTGCCACCTTAGCAGCGGGGCTGCCGTTGATGACAGTCCAACCTGCCTTTAGCAGTTGCCTCGTTTCCACCCCAGGAATGGGAGGAATGCAATTCGCCATCTTTTCGATGGGATCTTCTGCCGCGCCAGCTGGACCTTCAGGTTCATGTTCGTGCTCTCCCCTAGCTGGTGCGGCGTGCCCTTGCGGGCAGCTGTTTACCGAAAACCCGAACCAGACTTGACAGAGGTCGGTGCAACCTTGCTGCCATCAGATTCTGAGGACTTTGCCGCTAAGCATGCCATCAATGGTCCTCGGTCGCCAAATACGGGGACATTGCCTCGGAGTTGGCAAATCATCTTCTGACCGTCTGGGCAAATGAAATATGGCGCCTCACCCGCTGGCCAGTGGAAAGAGAACCCCTGTTCCATGCACTTCTTTCCTACAGAGCAAACTGCAGGTGTGTTGGGGAGCTCAACGAACTGCAATGGGTTCCTCAATGACTCAATGTAGACCTCATGCTTGGTATCAGCGTCTACTGGTCCGTTAGCAGTGATCAAACTCACTGGGTTGGAAGCAACCTTCTTAGCCTTGCCCTTGAAATGGGCCTCCAAATCAGAGTGACTAATCAGATCTTCCTCGCTACCGGTGTCTGCGATGATTTCGAGGTTCTCACCTGTCACCGCCGCTGCAGCAAGTTGGGGCAGGGGAATTGCTTCTTTGCAGTGAATGCAGAATCCTTCTCTACCCCGACACCTGTAGTTACACTTGACCCGAACCTTAAGCTTCATCCCGTTCACTGCTGATTCCAAGTGACGGGCATTCTGCAAAGCTTCTTCGGTGTCCTCTGGAATTGATGGTGGGCATAGCTCCGCAGACTTGTACCTGAATTCGAACTTGTGCTTGTCTGGTACGAAGCTCCAGCCTTCACCCTCAGGCGGGATGTCAATGATTTCTGGCCTTAGGAACTGGACCTTTCTGCTTCGGGGCTTTCCGGCAGGGCCCTTGCGGGCTGCTACTGCGTAGGCTTTCACAGCATCGGCCGGTGGCTCACCCGTGAGGGTGGCTGTGAGGGAAAGACAGCAAGCGGCTGGCTTGTCCTCACTCTTTGGCCTTTTCTTACTGGGTCGCCTGCGCTTGCCGGAGGGCGATCTCTTCCCGTCCTTGCCAGCCTTATCGCCTTTGGCCGGGACAGAGGGAGCGGCATCCTTGTGCATGAATGGGCAATTCTTACCGTTCTTGCAGGTGCCTTTGGGGTAAAAGATGCAAGGAATCTTGGAGGTATCCTTCTTCTCCCCACCTTTACCGCCTTTACCTCCACCTTTTCTTGAAGGGGTACGTGGAGGTGTTCTGCCCCTTGTCTGTTCAGGAGTAGGCTTCACATGCTTGTATGGGCACTTATCACCTCGTGGGCACTTCCCACGCTGGAAAGCGTAGCAGGGCTTGTCCTGGCTTCGGCCGCGAGGGGTGTTCGGGGTATCGGAAGGAGCAGGGGCACCAAATCTGGCACCGTGAGCTTTGGCGATTGCTGTGCGGTTTTTGCGAGTTCTGTCTCTAGCCAACAGCTCTTTCACGCATTTGACCAAGTAGTCGTAAGTGCGTTGCTCTGTTCCTTCCTTAGCCCTATCGTAAACTTCCAGATCAAACTTGAGCTTGCTAGCATTGCGAAGCTGCCGAAGTAGAATATCTCTCAGTGTAGTCTCCTCGGGTTGGTGATTCAATCCCGCGATGACCGACTCCCAATTGTGAATGAAAGTGCTAAGGTCATCACCATTCAACTGCACCTTGAGTAGATCTTCTACAGAGTAGAGGGAGCCTGCTTCCTCATTGGTCTTAAAGTAGTGTTCGAACATCAGTAGAACTTGTCTACCACGAACGGCCCTACCAGCAGCTGCCTCAGACTCCTTGTAGTTAATGATCTGTCGTCCAAGATCACCCCTAGCGACCCTCGAGAGCGCCGAAAGGATCTTCGTGTCCAAAGTGAGGAATTTACCCGTGTCCCTCAACTTCTCCGGATCGGCGTCCCTGGAATAAACCTCTTGAACCCATTTGAATGCCTCATCGGGTCTGTCCGATGCTGCCCGAACGGCCTCCCTAACTGTGATCTTCCAGCTCCTGTAAGTCTCCGGGTTAGGGAAGTCGGGTAGCTTCACCGTTTCAGCTTCCTTAGCCTTGGGTTTGTCATCGTCAGGCTTCTGGATAACCGACTTGAGTGCTTCAGCGAGAAGTACGCTAGGTTCTTTGTTTTCAGTAGATTCTGCCGGTTCTTTGTTATCACTCTGTTCAGCAGTAGATACCGCTACATTGTGGGCCTTGGAATCCTCAGGCTCACCAATGTCATACCGTTGGGTCCTTCCCAAAACCGTCCGAAGCGACACAGGAATCTCCCTGGGGTTCCGAAGGGTCGGAATCCATGAATGGCTAGGACCCTGAACAAGCGGCGCAGCGGCACCACCTTGCGGTGGGCTTGGTTGAAGCTTGGAGCTCTCACTGGGATCGACTTTCACCGGCACGGCACCACCTTGCGGTGGGCTACTCTCCGCTGTCGACAAGACAGTCCTGAGTGAGTCGACCTCAGCTATAAGCTCCGCATTCCTGTCCTGCAGGTCATCAACCAAGCTATCGTACTGCTGTGCCTCAGAGGTTAGCCTATGGTAGTACTCATTCTCTTCCCATTGAAGCTTTTCCTCAAACTCAGACCCTAAAAAGGCAATCATCTCACTGTGGTTTTCTTCGATACTCGAGCGCAATTCCGCGAAACGGCGTTCATGCTGTCTGTTTTCCGCAGTGAGCGTGCGCGCTGCTGCTTCCAGCTCGGACCGATGTGCATCAAACTGCATGGCCATAGACCTTTCATCATGACTTTCCCTTTGTGCGCGTGCCAGCTGTGCCTGCAGCTCATTGGCTGATTGTCGTTCTGCTCGGGCGATTGTCCCTAGCACTCGTACTTCATTGTGTAGCTGTCCCACCAACAGGTGTGTGGATTGGCTCACAAATGCTAGCTGTTGACGATGATTCGCATCCGCTGTTGCCTCTAGGTGTGCAATGTATGCGTTGGCTTCGGCGTACACGTTGTCCAATGCAAATCGATGTCGTTGTTCCGCGCGAAGCTCCAAGGCACTTTGAATGCGGGGGTCATTCAGGAACAAGTTCACCTGAGTATTCTCCTGCAACAAATGCAAGAAGTACTGGTTCGCTTCCTGCTCCGTTCTACCACCAATACCACCGTCACCGTTGTTGCCCGCGGCCGTTGCGAACGGCACGATGTCCATTACGGAGCTAACTACGGCTGATAACCTGAAGTTTCCCAGGCTACCAGCTTGGCACGTCTAGTTACCGGTCAGTCAACCCTTGTGACCTTTTTCCACGGGGGACTTGGGCCAAGTGCGATCGCGTAAAGACGTAGCTAAGGACCATAGGAATAGCAATGGAGGCAGGGTAAAATCTACAAAAGCCCTACCTAGGTAGGGTTTACATTACTTAATGTTTTACAATGCTTGGCCCGTGCCACCTCCACAGGCAGCACGCAATCTGGCGCAGTCGGCTGGGCCTGTTGCGGCAATTTGAGGGGCGATTCCGAACCTTCTCTAATCCCTGCTGGAATTACTTGAAGTTTCATTGGTAGTTGTGGGTAGGGTGATGAGTCAATTCTGCTTGGTGCTTCTTAGGTCTAGCCGTAATGCCTAAAAACCGACACCCACACCCTAAATCCTACGCCCTACACAGTAAGCCCTTAAGCTCCACAACCTAAATCTTTCCGCCCTAAACCCCAAACCTTCAAAATCGCAAACCCTACCCATAGGCCCCCTTGTAGTTCCTTTTGGGGATCCCCTTATAGGATTCTACACATGAACCCGAAAAAGGAACTACTATGGGGCCTATGGGTAAGCCCTATACCATCCCCCCACTCTATAAATCTTTAAGCCCCAAACCCCAAACCTTCTAAACCGTAACCCCAAGGGTCCAAGTACCCAATAATCATATACTCTCCAAAATCCTAACCTACATAACTACTATCCTGAAACCGAGTACCTGATTGTTGGGTCCTTTGGACCTTTGGGGTAAACCCTACCTGTGACCCCAAACCCTACAAAATACTGGGTTATGACCCCTTAAGTATAAGGTCTATAACCCCTAAAACAATAGGTTTGTTGGATTTCGATGAAAACCCTAAGCCATCTACCCTCCACTCTGAACTCTAAACCCTATAAACCCTAACCCCTATAAACCCTAAACCCTATAAACCCTAAACCCCAAACCCTAAACCCTAAACCAGCTACCCTCCACTCTGAACCCCTTTGCCGGGACGGGCCTCGGCCAAGGCAGTCTTCTTCTTGCGGGAAGCACCAGGCCTGATACGGGACTCTGGATTTGGGTTTAGGGTTTAGGGTTTAAGGGTTTAGGGTTTAGGGTTTAGGGGTTTAGGGTTTAGGGTTTGAGATTTGGGTGGTTGTCAAAATTTTGGTCCCTTTTTGGACCCCAATATAATACGGCACCTAATATTTAGGGTACCCAAAAAGGGGCCCTAATTTTGACAACTGCCTATTTAAGGTTTCGGCGTTTAGGGCTTAGGGTTTTGTTCAGGGTTTGGGGTAGATGGTCAGGTCGTTGGAGATGGACGACGGAGGATGTCTAGAAGTTCATGAACCTTCGGAGCTTCATTGCAGAATTGCACCTTCACTGTAGTCAATCACACATGACGGAAATTCTTTTTGGGCCTGTGTCTCTGTCGCTATATAAACCCTAAACCCCTAAACCCGAAACCCTTAACTCCAAATTATCCGAAACCATAAACGGGCGACGAGGTGGTCGTCTAAGTCTGGCGGCACTTTCGCGCTTCGTCTGTTTGGCGCCTGCGTGGTCTTATGACCGGTTCAAAATTTAGATAACCCGAAAAAGTTCAGTAGTTTAGGATTTAGGGTTTTGTAATTATAGTTATGGTTGTGGTCCTAAGGGTGTTGTAGAGCCCAGACATGTGCAGAAGAGGCTACTGCTTGTTTTTTTGGTTGCTTTCAGGATATTTTGGGGTCGGGCTTATCCAAGGATGTGAATATGTTTCCATTACGCGATGCGCAGCTGCGAAAGCATGAGCGCCTAAGGCTGAAGCCATAAATCGCAAACCTCCGCAAATCTATCGCCATAATCCACGAACCGAACAATAGGAAACCCTCCCTCAAGATGAGTTCAGACCGGAAATATAGACAACGACAGTCTCCTTCTGAAGTCCTTACGGTCGAAAACTCCTCCGGACAGCAATACACCAACAAGAAGGAAACTGATTCAGAGCAACCGGCATTTTTGGCCTCGATACCGTCCAACCAGCTGCCAAAAAAAAAGACTTCCTGTGTCTGCAAGCTCCTAGACCATGAGAGCTACTTCGAAGTCCAGACGCCAACGGACGGGAAATCGCAACACACCACTTACGCCTTGACTCGGCCCCAAACCGCTAAACCCAAGGTCCTGGACTCTGGTCCATACTACCTATAGTCTCCATTGTAGTTCCTTTTTTTGGTTAAACCATTTTTATAGTTAGGATCCTATAACGTAACCCAAAAAAAGAACTACAGTGGAACAGCCGGTCCAACTCGCAGAATCCAGTCTCATACATCAGACTTGGATACACCACGGCATCTGTAGCTAGGGCACTACCCCACTCGTTCCGAGACCAACGGTCACCGCACCACCCGCCACCCCTGGTAGACCCCCGCAGGAGAACAAGATTCTGCTTTTCTGTGCTCGGAATCCCAAAGCAAGCAATGCATACAGTTGAGAAGCCTAAACAACTGCGAATCCCAACACCCTAAATCCTAAATCCTACGTACACTGTACACCCTAAACCATGTAATTACCGAAGTCGTTACATACAAGCTCCCATGCATCCGAAACACGGACCCCATGAGACAAATCCCATCTTCAGTCATAGCATGCTAGGATACCCTGTTAGGGGTTCCTGTATCTCTATCTCCTGTCAATTGCTTCGGGCTACAGAACTCCAACACCCTGAGCCCAATAATTACCCTCGAACCGAAAATCTAAAGCACTAAGTCAGTAGCACCCGCAGAACCTAAGCCACAAACCGTGACCCCAACATCATTCATCGTCGGCCTTGAGCCCTCAGAACGCTAATGCCTAAATCCGCGAACCGAAGCCCCAACACCTAAATCTTAACCAAGCTGAAACACTATTAAAAAACCTAACCACTCTTGGAGCCCTTGAAGAACCCTTAACGAGCCTCAAAGAAACCCGAGGAAACCAAGATGTAGGGAGCATAACTACAATTCGGACATGGCTTTGTTGGTATATTTTGCCTAAAAATACATGAAATCTATGACGGACCAATACTACTAACTACTCAAAGCTTTGAAAATCAAAGCCCTGAAGCCTGTAAACCCTAAAATAGTGGCCTTGATACTTAGAATAGGGTTTTGGGGACCACTATACCATAACTATAGAAAAGGAGCCCCTACAGCGGTATAGCTAAACTATTCAGACCCCTATATCATAGTACTCTTATAGATCCCTCATAGAGCCCTTATGGTCCCCATTAAAGGAGCCCTTTAGAGCCCGAAAAACGACGTCCCCTTTCGGGACCCCAGCCTCGCTGCTGCTGCGAGGGTCGCCGCAAGTGGGGCCCACGCAGCCGACCCGGACCAGGAAGTCGAAGTGGGCCTTTAGGGTCTAGGGTTTAGGGTTAAGGATTAAGGAATTAGGATTAGGTTTAGGATTTAGGGTTTACGAGTTTAGGGTTTAGGATTAAGATTTGGGGTGTAGCGTTTAGAGTTTAGGCGTAGGTTTAGGGTACGGAAACGAAGGTGTCGTTGGATGAAAAAGCTGTATTTGTGCATCATCACCATCATCATCATGCAGATCATGACCATCATCAGCATACCGCTGCCCCACCTCAGCTCGCGAAGCTTGTAAGACAACTTCGATCTCCCAAAGGAGGAAAATCAGGCAGGGAAACCTTCCCTTACAACCTAAGAAGACACCATACACCCCAAATCCTACCGCCACAACATCAAAATAAGGGGGCCTGAATAATTACAACAGTATTTTTGGGGCCCAGCATACTATGAATATAATAAGGAACCCACAAATAGTATTGGTAATTATGAAGGTCCCTAGAGTAGAATCTTCGTACATGTCCACCGGGGCTGAAATGCCGCCACACTCCCGAAACGAGCCTCACTCCTACGCAAGCAACATGATGCAACAGAAATCCAGCAGAAAGCTAGAACGTCATGTGAAGACCATTCTAACAGCTCGATTCGACACGGTTTACCTGTGCTTATACCATTGTAGCTTCTGTTTGTTTATTCTAGGGTACCAAGCATAGACTGGTCATCGAAAGGCAAGATCGGTTGACGCAAAACCGGGTTGCTGAGCTCCCTGATCCGAAGGCGATTACTGAAGACGACAGGTTCGTAGTTGTATGGTATATATATATATATATGTATATATATATATATATGTGTATGTGTATATATATATATATATATATATATATATATAGATATGTATATATATAATATATTATATAATATATATATATATATATATATATATATTACACAGAGAAGATTATAGAAACATATCTATATAATTATAATATATATATTTAGATAGAGAGAGAGAGAGAGAGAGAGAGAGAGAGAGAGAGAGAGAGAGAGCGAGAGAGAGAGAGAGAGAGAGAGAGACAGAGATAGTTTTCTATATATATATATATATATATACACACATATATATATATATATATATAGATGACGATGTACAACACCCTATTCTACCTGTGACAAGGCATCCGAACTTGGAGCTAAACTATGATAGGCCCATGCACAACTAAGCATGCGTCAATGCTTCCCACTCGGCTACGCAGACAAGGCTTGAAACCCGACGTGTTTCTTTATGCGGGCATGCATGGTTGTCCTAGGGCCCAGGGCTTGACGGTATATTCGCTAGTTCGGCACGGTAAAAGACTCGAAGTTATCAGAACTTTCCCTTGGTGTCGGCCTCGGTTTGCTGACCGTCACTTGCGGCAGGCGTGCCGCTGCGCCCGTGGCTTTCGGTGCAAACGGTGTGAGCTCCATGGCGATGAAGCGCTCGGCGACGACACGCGGCTTAGGTTGTCGATCTTTACAGCTCTTCCGATTCTAGACAAGGCGGCCGGGTAAAGGAAAGGGTCCATGATATTGCACAGACATGATGTCTTACTTGATGGCCCACACTCTGAGGGTAGGGAGCTCATCTTTCTTTCCTTTGCGGTCGGGTGGTCAGACATCAGTAAAGGGAACTCCAGAAAGTTGGAATATGGATTAATGGTAGGATCCCCTAAAATTTATCTTAAAGGGTTACGATAATGATATTCCAACTTTCTGGCTTCTACTGTAGAATATTTGGGCCCGAAAGATACAACCCGAAACACTGCTGTTAGGCTTGGCAGCAGACTTCCCAGTCGGATTCCATGATATCGTGAACACTCTATCTAAAATCGAGAGCCTTCACCCTAAAGCTATAAAAACCTAAATCCCTAAAGAGCCTTCACACTATGACTTAGACTTGTAAACCCTAAACCTTCAACCCTAGCCCCACGGCGCTATGAAGCTGCGTGCATCGGCGACAGGAGCAGAGGTGGCGGCCTAATGAAGGGACTCTGGCCATAGGGTGCTCAATTGTCAGAATAGCATTTTGGTGCATTGACGGATAATTGCAAAACGGAGCCAGGAACACTTCTACTGATTATTCAAACCTCTATACTAGGCCCGGCCGTAGACTGATTCGAAGCAACTCCCTGCTGACCCTGCCTGAAGTCTGAAAGCTCAATGCCCCAATCGATGCCCAGGGAAACCCACTGTTGAACTTACACAACAAGCTCGATTAAAGACTCAGACAGTTGGTAGTGGAAACGAAGGAAATCTAGGATTGTTAAGCCGACACGTCTATATCGCCCATGTAGGGGTCTGAATAAGTAGAATAGGCTGGGGGGCTCCTTTACAGCAGAATTATACGATAAGGAACCCTAAGGCATGATTTTGGCACTCACTTTGGCTTCTATATTTGGCAAAATGAGTTGTTTTCTCCGGGTCCCCGCTATGTCCTCAGAAGGGCTTGGAACCTGCCAAGGAGAGCCCTCAATTTTTTCGGAGTCTCAGAAGCTCTTTGTTGAGGGTGTTTCAAAGTATTGGAATTCTGTAGGTCCCCATATCAGGGTTTTTGTGTCCGATTATATTAACCGACGTAATAGCACCTAAACCCTAAACTGAAGCTGTAGTAGGTTCTCCAAAGTAACCTCACTGAATTTTAGGGTCTCGGTCAACCCCGAAGTTGCTACTGTAGGGGCCATGATAATTAGAATAGTGTTTTGGGTGAGGGGTTTTAGGGGTTTGGGGTGTAGTTTATCGTATAATGATAAACAAGAAGATAAACAAGAACCCTAGGGAATGTTTGCGGTAATTCCTCAGGCTTCTAGACTACATCTGGTCAGCAGGGCGCACCGATCGTCCTCCACACAGCTGAGAAGCCGCAAGATGTGAGGATGCTCAAGCCGCATTTGGATAGTCACCTTCGCAGGCCCCAAGCCCTACAAAAGAAGCATTGCGCACACACACACACACACACAAACACAAACACAAACACACACACACACACACACACCTACACCTAAATTATGAACCCTACAGACCCAGGCAAAAATGCAGAAGCCTGAACATATTAGGTGGCTTGAGCCAGCGTTATTATATGGCGTTGTCGATACGGATTTGGGATTTGGGGTATTGGAGGGCCAGGCAGGATTTGTTTCGGGCTTAGGGCAGAGCTTGAATTCGGCTTTAAGATGTAGATCTTACGCTTTAATAACGCCGTTGCACCAGCCTCTCTCCGCAGCTGCGGAATCATGTTCCGGATGGCCAGGGGCTGCCTGAGACACGTGCCCAGGGACTCCAATTTCGAGTGTCTGGCTATTGAAGTTCCAAATACAGATACATGTAGAACTTACATAACTGTACATGTGTATGGATGCTTATACAACTATGACTAATCTCTAATCTCCGCCGATCTCTATGTCTGACGGGTGTGACCACGGAGGCTTAAATTATGACCACTACTACTCAGTGTTCCGTGTTCTCATGATACTGTTCCACGGCCAAAAGCTGTATTATAGCTTCAGTTGGCGCTATATTGAACTAATCTCCTGCCTCCAGCCTTCCACTGCTGAACTTGGGTGCTCCTAGAGCTCTGGGATGTTGAGCCAACCCTTCTTGATCAAGACTCCTCATTAACACGAGAGGCTTTCAACAATATAGGGGCCTATTTCGAGCAGGTCTTCGGTGTACTCTAGACTAGCGCCTCAGTATGAAAGGAACACTATGGAATAATGCTTGTCAGGCTTCGACATTGCCGCATCCTCTCCCAGATCCTAGTCCGACTACCCAGGCCCCTGTCTTATATACTTTAGGTACGGCCCCCATACAGTAAGAGTCTATAATAGGGCTACTATTAAGGTCCTACTATAACTATATTATGAATATTATTCAACTATTACTGAGTGGGGGCCGTACCTAATATATACTTGTAAACACCGAGAGACTCCAAAACCCTTCAACTAGGGAAGAGACCTTAAATCTTATTAGGGTTCCTATTGTAGCTTAAGGTATGTTCCTTAGGTTCTTAGGTTGCAAGCCCTGGGATCTTCCGCCTTCCGATAGTATTAAGCGGTGCAGGCTCGGCTTATGGACCCGTGCCCTTCCTCAAGCCCAAAACACCCTACCTTTTCAGGGTGCTGGCAGAAGGAAATCATAATAAGACACCCAAAAAGGTCGGCTTGTTCGTGGAATTAAGGTAAACCCTAACCTAAACCCAGGGAGAGTTTTTTGGATTCGCCAAAATCAGCCAGCGCACTTCTCCACGACTTTTAGAGCCACCTCGGTCGGGGATGCAAGGGCTTGGGGTGTCGGGTTCCTGCAAAGGTCGCTTCAGCGGGCTACTACAAAGTTTTGGGTTACCATTATAGGATCCTAACTATAAAGAACTGTTTAACCAACAAAATTAACTACAATGGAGACTATCGGTAGATATACTGTATACTCTTCACACAATAAGACCAAACAACCGCGCTCCACATTATGGAGTACTATAAGAGTCAAGTACAAGGACCGTGATAATCAGCATCGGGGTATAACGTTCAGGAACACGAAGGAATGGATTTATATGGTACTCACGCAGACCTAAGACAGAGGCTCTCTGTTCCGGGTTGGGGGTTTGTCAAAGCGCTGCTGACCCGAAAAACTTGGCTAGGATCCTCGGCCTACATATGCATGGAACAAAAAGCAATGTACTTATATCATCAAAGCTAGGGGCCTTAAAAATTACCAGTAGACTTTAGGGGGCCCTTGTATACGCCCCTTCAGTAGCTGGTAGAGTTCATGACCTACTTCATCCGCGGAGTTTTGACATGTGCAGCAATAGAGAATCCACAGGAGCCTAATCAAAATTCTGGGTCGGCTTAGTAAGGGATCTTGTTTAATAGTTAGCACGAGGTCCAGTTTTGAGCTATGATATACTACAACTACAACAATCTAGCCTTTTATATTTCGGCTATGGATCGCTGAAATAAGGCTGCGACCAAATTCCGCGTTCGTTTGTGTCTCAACCGCCGCACCTGGCTCAAATGGTTTAATTATTACGCCACCAAACCAACTACCAAGAGTTTCGAACAAACAAGACCTGTTCATAGTGTAGTAGTCGGGTCAAGACTGTTAAGGGCTCGAATGTCCGCAAAACTTGGGAACCAGCATTGTCACACGAACCACCCTAAACCCTAAACCCCTGTAAACCCTAAACCCTGAGCCGCCGCTCGACTAGGATAGTGCAAGAACCAAGCCTTGTCGACACTGCCATTCCGGCCCGAATCAGGGGCCCCTTTTGTGAGCCTAATAGGCTAGCCATGGAACGCTACGTTTGAGCAGTGCGCTCATCAGGAAAAGAGTGCCGTGGGCACTTGCGTGACTGATCTAGCTTGTGTGACCCTCCACTGCGCTACCTGCTGCATTGGCAGCGGAGCAAGGTTAGACAGGGCCTTGACTCGACTGGCTGTTGCGGGCTACGTGAACATTTGGAAACGGTGCCAGTCCTGTGACTTCTACCTCACGTGGTCCCTGTCCTCCCTGCCAGGACAGAACTTCTTTTTCCACAGCGTCCTCAAGGGACGCGACTTTTCTTCAGTTTGAGCTTTTTCCTGTCAACATGACCGACAGCCGCGACGGAAGTGGCGCTGTGCCGACCTGGGATGGCTCTGCACGGGCATGGCGAAGATACACCAGGGAGGTGGCATGGTACGTGCAGAGCACACCTGCGCATAAGCGCAGGCACTGCGCGAGCAAGCTCATGGGCAGACTTACTGGCCCAGCACGACTGCTGGCGATGAGCTGGCAGCAAGCGGTCTTCGATGTGGAGGACGGCACAACGAAGCTTCTTCAGAAGTTGGCCTCATCTCCACTGGTTCGTCGAAGCTTGCCGAACGCAGCGGCGATCTGCCAGCAGTACTTCAGCTTCAGAAGGTCCGCCCATGAGAGCATCGGCAACTTCTTGGTGAGAGAGACGCTGGTCCACGAGGAGTTCGTGGAAGCTTTGATCAGGCTTCATGAAGAGAAGCTTGGTGTTTCGCAATCGGACCGGGACTTTGGGCTTCCGGCCGTGGAAGCCTCCTGGAAAGACTACGAATGGCAAGGTGAAGGATGGGAACCCGGCGATTGGTGGTGGTACGAGGACGAGATTGCCGAGGAGGGCGATGGTGAAGGTGCTGCTCCTGCCGCTGATTCTCCGGAAGACCCAGCAGCGGCGGAAGGTGAAGGCGCTGAACACCCTCCTCGTGACGATTCTCCGGGTCGTGTACGAGCCACCACAGGCTCCTCACCTAGCCATCGGGAGGAACCTCAGTTGCCGAAGCTCAGATCGAGTCCCCCTTCCGTGAGCCCTCCAGCTGAAGGACTCACGAAGCCGATCGATGAACTCTCCGTCGCGGACAGCTTCATTATGGGAGTCCTCCGTGGATGGCGCTTACTTCAAGCTGCAGGCCTCACGGCCGAGGAGAAGCGGGACATCCTCAGCACGTCCCGCAACAGCTTGGACTACGAAGTCGTGGCTCAAGCACTGCAGGGGCTATGGGATGAGCAGCTCCTTGGACAACGACCTCATGGAAACGGCGGCTACCAGAACTACGCGGCCTACCACGACGACATGGACCTGCAGTACCAGGACGCCACGACCGACTGGGATGATGAGGAGAACTCCTGGTGGGATCATACCGGCTACGCTGCCGAATGGGGCGACCCTTCCTGGTGGGACGAGGACTACGACGAGGCGTACCCCGCAACTACCGAGGAGCCCAATGAGCCTGACGATGACAAGTACAAGGAAGCACAGCAAGCTGAAAAGATTGCGGAGCAGCTTGCTCTGGAAGCACGCCGCACTTGGACTGAAGCGCAAAAGGCGACACAACAACTTCGCCGCGACAGGGGCTTTGGAGCTTCGCATGGAGCCCCTGGCCAGTGTTTCCTATGTGGCGGTCCCCACATGGCTCGAATGTGCCCTAATCGAACCAAAGGAAAAGGCCAGTTCAAGGGCAAGCCTGGATCCTTCAATGGCAACTACGCTGACTACGAGAGCTACTTCGTTGGCAAGGGCAAGGGCAAATCCAAAGGCAAGTTCAAGGGCAAGACGACCATGTGGATGGAAGGTCAAGCTGCGTGGCACAAGGGGAAAGGCAAGCATCGGGAACCACCTCGGTCTGTGAATGCCTACTCTTCTGATATGTACCTCGCTGGCCTCCAGGTGAGTGAGACCATGGACTTGTCTTCAATGAGCTCTGCGCGCCCTGAGCCTCAAACCGGCATGCTTGATAGTGGAGCCACAGCCTCTGCTGCCCCAGAGGCAGTGGTCAAAGGTCTCATCGAGGCTGTGCTCAGCCGCGACCGTGGAGCCCGCATCGACCTGGAGCAATATGCGAGACCTTACTTTCGGTTCGGCAATGGTAAGTGGGGTCGTGCATTGGGACGAACTACAATTACGAGTAATGTTTCCGGTTCTACTCGAAAGTTCTCCCTCTACACCCTACCAAATCCGTCCGAGTATTACACCAGTCACTTTGACAAGGGCTCGCTGGTTCCCGTGTTGATTGGCATGGACTTCCTTGGCCCCGCAGGAATGGGTTTGATCATAGACTTCTCCACTGGTCTTGCCCTACAATCTAAGGAAGAACATCCTGAGATATTCCACCTCAAGACCAATGCTAAAGGCCATTACGTACTCGACATCGTTGAGTTTCTTACGCAAGGACATGTCAACCTTGAAGGTCAAGCACATCTGGTAGTGAGCTCAAGTACCCCTTCGTCGCCGAAGACCCTGTTACATCATGCCCTCGAGCTTGGTACAGTTTGGTTTGATCTGACAGCACAGGAAGCCGATGTTGAGCATGAAGCTTTGATTCGATCGCGCAATAGGTTGTTGATGCTTCATCAGCACTCTCGGGAACTGCGACAACGACTTTGTGCCGCCGCAGCCTCGACCTCTCAAATGTCTGGCCCCTCAGCGGCCACTCGAGAATCCCCAACTTCCTCTTCGCGATCCCCGGGCGACGCTCTGAATCATGGCGACCCCGGAGCAGACTCTCATCTCGCAGATCAAGGCCAACACCAAGCCGAAGGCGAAGGCAGCTCCTTTGGACCCATCGAGACGGGTGACAATGGACCTTCGCGACCCCCGAACTGGAGGAGATCAATGGCCTTGCCACTCCCAGCACGTGCCGGGCAAGGTGCAGGCGAACGGTCATGGAGCCTGGGTCCACTGCGCGGTCTGCAATCTACGACTGGAGTATGTTCCCCGCAAGGGGAGTCCGGCGGCAACTACGAAGGTGGAGAACCCCAGCATGGTGAAACGTATGCTCACCCAGCTGGAGAGCATCATGGGACCTGTGAAGCCGACCTCGGCCATCTGCCTGGCCATGCAGCGGAAGATCGACGCGGAGGAGCAGCTGAACCACATTGTGCAGCAGCAGATGACGGATCCAGCGGCGCCGAGGACTACTACGACAACCCCGTCTACACCAACGCCGCAGACAACGGCACCGGCAAGCACAAGTCCCGCCGACTCCAACAACAGCTGGCTCATCGCGAACGACAACGAGGAGGATCTTCCAACTGCCTACGCCAACACCGGAATGTGAAGCCATGTTCAAGCTACCACGGGCATAAGATCATGGCTTTTGCATCCTTGATGACGGCGGCTACTACCTCTCTCTTGGCAGGCCTTCATCTACATGATCGCGATGGCCTGTGGGAGATATCTGCTGCCCCACACAGTCTTCTGAGTGATGCAGCTGCTGAGCATGGATTGCAGCCTCGCAAAATCAACCTCAGCACAGGCTATGATCTCTACAAGGCGTCTACATGGGACGGGCTACTTGATCTACTACAACGCAAACGTCCTGTGCGGTTGTGGTTTTCACTGCCGTGTACCAAATGGTGCCCTTGGACCGCGGTAGACTATGACAACCACGAACGACGAGAACAACTGGAGACCTATCGCCGACGAGAACGTCGGATGCTGTGGAACTTCAACAAGTTTGCCAAGGCCTCCCTCGCTGTTGATCCTGATCTTCAGTTGTACTTTGAGTGGCCCACGACAAGTCGAGGCTGGAGACTTGGAGCCCTCACTGATCTGGAGGCCTTTCTGGAACAACATGAAGTACCCTGGCTCCACTGTCGTGTCGATGGGTGTTGCTATGGATTGATGGACGAGGACGGAGATTCCTTCGTCCAGAAAAAGTGGAGCATCCTCACCACCGATGAGCAATTCCACCGGAACTTCAAGGCCAAAATCTGTCCCGGCAACCACAAGCACAACCACACAGCCTGCAATAGCCACGCCAAGGAGTCCTACTACCCGCCACGGATGGTTCAAGCCATTGCCAGGCACTGGCGCGGTCAACTTGTGCCTGGACGTCATCTACATCTTCTGTCACTTCCCGATGATCTTCCTGCCCTGACGGAGGAACCCAACCAACAGTCCGACGACTACAACAATGTGGCAGTTCTACAGGAGTGTGATGATGTCACGGACGAGGAGATGGATCTCTGCGTGAGTGCCGGTCAGCGATTAACACTGGAAGCCATGGCCCGAGAAGCTCGTCTACGGAACCAACTATCCTTTGACATGCTGGAGACGATCATGACTGAGCTCTTCAACAATGCTGTGCCTCGAGGACCTCCCAATCTTCGATGGAACCGTGAACGGCAAGGTCATATGGCACTTGGAGCATACTCCCACGGAGCCTTTGGTGGAGTGTGCAAGTCCACCTACAAGTACAAGGAGTTGGTCCTCTACATCAACGGCTTTATTCAGCAACATTGCCCTGGGCATGAGTGGACCAGCTTGATGCTGACCAAGAACTGCCGAGCTCTACCTCATCGTGACCATCACAACATGGTTGGCAGCACGAATCTTCTGTTCTGCACCGGCTCTTTCACTGGTGGCGGTCTGTGGATTGGACAAGTCTGCGATGACCTACCCAAACTACGAAGACGAATGATGGATGGAACCTACAAGGCAGGCCACGTGAAAGAGACCAAGAACAAATTCGTCTACTTTCAGCCAAAGGTTGACCACGCCACCGAGCAATGGCGCGGAACGAGGTTTGGTGTGTCTGCCTACACGACACGGATGCTACCACACCTGAAGCCGGATGAACTTCAAGCTCTACGTGACCTCGGCTTCAAGTTTGATGCGAATCGGAGCCCTGGCTCCGACGAATTGGACGCTCTACCCGCAGAACAAGACAAACCTCCGTCTGCCAGTGACCTACGACCAGATGATATCAGCCAGGCTGAGTATGACTCCTGGGTGGCCAAGATAGCAAAATTTCACAAGGCGGCTGGTCACCCCACGAACCGCAACCTGGCCAAGATCATTCAGGATGCTGGACACCCAACTTGGAAGATGGATGTTGCGCTCCACCATCATTGTCCGGCCTGCGAATCCCTTCGAGCTGGAGGCACCAGCTCTGGTCGTGTGCCACCTGCCTCGACACACTTGAACTACTCAGCTTGGGAAGCCGTCGGCATCGACACCGGCGAATGGATTCCACCCGGCAAGAAGACCAAAGTGAAGTTCATTGTTTTCGTGGACATGGCTACACGATTGCGTGTGGTCCAGCCCCTCTTCGTCTACGACTTCCTCACCACCAAGGTCGAGTCTGGTCAGGACTTCATTCGTGCCTTTTCTGAACGATGGCTTGGCTCTTACCCCAAGCCAAAGCTAGTCATCATGGACTCGGCCAAAAGCTTCGTGTCGGAAACTGTCAACAACTTCCTGAGCGACCTCAACATTCAAGTTCACATTGTGGCCGAGAAAGAACATTGGGCCAACGGACTTGTGGAATCCACCGTGCAAGACTTGAAGCAAACTTCGTCTGCTATACATCTTGATTCTCAGGATGTTGAGGTGTCGGTTGTGATGCACCTCGCAGCGGCTGCTCTCAATGCCACGGAGTTCGTTGCTGGCTATTCGTCACACCAATGGGCCTTCGGAACGAATCACTCGCCAACAGACGAGGATGTGCGGACCTATCAACTTGTCGAGCCCAAGATTGACTACGCCAGATTGATCACTGCCCGACAGAGGGCGGAGGAGATTGCTGTGGCCACACGGGCCCGGCGAGTTCTGAGCAAGCTCGGGAACACTACCGTCCGTCAGCCCCTTCGAGAGTTCTCCCCGATGCAATTGGTCAAGGTGTGGCGACATGTGTGGCCTCGTGAACAACACAAAGGGCCGAGAGGAGGCTACAAGAAAAGCGGACGCCCTCATTGGATAGGACCTGGCCGCGTGATGTTTTCTGAGGTGCTTCCCCATCAACAAGAAGGCGATCATCGGCGACATGTTGTTTGGGTGTTGATTGGCAGCCAACTGCTACGATGCTCAGTTCACTCTGTGAGGCCTGTCACAGAAGTTGAACGGTTTCAGTATGAGACCACGACCCACGAGGACGTTACACGCTGGAAGTCACTTGCGGATGTTTTGCCCCGGAAGGAGTACCACGATCTGGTTGATGATGTTCCTGACGAAGACGAAGTGGAACTTCCTGATCTTCCTCTTCAACCAGATGAGACGACGATGGTGAATCCTCCCCGACGCCTTCGCACAAAGACCTCCTCTGTTCGATTCCAACCTTATGGACAACAAGCCGATGACGAACCAGATGGTGAAGAACCACCTGATCCACTACCTCCTCCCGTCAATGACTATCAACCAGCAACCTCATCGACAACTCCACCGACACCTACAACAACACCACACCGTCATGCTGACTCTCAACCTACAGAACAACCTGATCCCAAACGTTCTCGACGTGAAGATATTACATGGGTTCAAGAACTTGAAGCAGCTGCTCTTCAAGAACATGAAGAAATGGACATTTTTCATGCTCTACAAGAAACTCAAGAGTTTCTCAAGATCGAGTTCGACGTGGAGCCTCCAGCATCAAACCGCCAGCGGAAGTTCCTGGAGCGAAACCCCGTTGCCTATATGGTCAAGAAGATGCGAGACTCCGAGGTGAGCCTGTCTCGCCTACCACCACGGGAGCTCTCCCTGTTCAACCGCGCTAAGGCCAAGGAGGTAGATAGTTTCTTGCGGAATGAGGCAGTCCGGAAATGCCTCAACGATGAGGAGGTGAAGCAAGCCTACGAATCAGGACGAATCGTTCGAGCACGATGGGTTCTGACCTGGAAGTCTGTTCCACCAGAAGATCAAGCGGATGCTGAACGTGACGCCCGGGAGAATCCGGACAAGACCCTACACGACTCCAAAGGTCGTCGAAAAGCCAAGGCCAGGATCGTGCTGCTCGGCTTCCAGCATCCCAATCTTCTGGACCCTACCTTCAAGACCTCCTCACCAGTCCAGTCCACGCTGGGAAGGAACCTCTTGTACCTCCTTGCAGCCCATCATCAGTGGGACCTAGAAGGACTTGACCTGGCAACGGCGTTCCTGCAGACCATGCCGACCGAGGCCGACAGTCAACTGTACACCTCAGGAGTTGAAGAGCTTCGTGAAGCTCTTGGAGTCGATGCTGATGGCATCATGAAGATCCTGCGGAACATCTACGGAAGCACGACGGCACCTCGAGGACTCTGGCTGGACCTCCACAAGACTCTGACGAAGTTGGGTGGCATTGCCGTCATGGGCGAGCGGTGCATGTGGATCTGGCTCTCGAAGTCGGAGCTGGACCGAGGAAGACCCCGACTGATTGGGGCCATGGGCGGCCATGTGGATGACTTCCACCGACTGGGCGATAAGCGCTCCCCTGAATGGATGGCCATCCGGGAAGCAGTGGACAAAGCCTACAAGTGGGGGACAGCCAAGACCGGCAAGTACCGCCACGCGGGAACCGACATCACTTCGACCACTGACGAGCAAGGTCGACTTAAGATTGTCGTGGACCAGAGCTACTACATCGACGGCATCCAGGACCTGGAAGTGGACGCTGCCCGCCTTCGCCAAGACGGACCCCTACAACCACATGAAGTGGCAGCGTGCAGGACTGCCCTAGGGGCACTTCAATGGGTAGCTGTCCAAAGTCAGCCTCAATTATGCAGTCGATGCAACCTCTTGCTAACTGAAGTTGTGTCTGCTGGTACGCTCCAAACTGCGAGAGAGATCCAAGCTATGGTTTCCGAGATTCGCCGTGAATCCTTCAAGCTGGAGTTTGTGAAGTTTGATCGAGCCCTACACTGGACTGATTTGGTCTTCATCTCCATGGGAGACCAGGCGCACAACAACCGAGGCAAAGGAGATTCTACAGGAGGCCTTCTGACTCTTGTAGCAGGACCAGAAGCTATCGAAGGAAAGGTCTGCCCCATGACTCTCCTTGCCTGGAGAACTTGGAAATTGCGCCGCAAGGCGCTTGGCTCCAATGATGCGGAGGTGCAGTCCATCTACGAGGCTGAGGATCAAAATTTCAGAGTTCGCTTGTTATGGACGGAAATGCATGGTGCTCGAGATCCCCGTCGTCTACGAGAAGATTTGGTGGAGGCGTCAGAAAACCAATGTCTACAAGTCAAGGGCATCCTCTGCACCGACTCCCGCGGCGGCTATGATGCCATTGAAAGGAATGAGTCTCCGCTACTTGGGCTGAGCAACATGCGAGCAGCTCTTCAAGCGTTCTCATTGCGAGAAAACCTCGCCCGGGTAGCCTGTGAGCTACGCTGGCTAGCCTCCGACTACAACCTCGCCGACGCGATGACCAAGAAGAAAGCCGAAAGCCGACTTGCCCTGCTGAAGTACCTCCAGACTCGACACTGGGCCATTGCCTTCGACCCCAGTTTTACATCCGCCAAGCGGAGCAAGAAGCAGGGACACACAGCTGTTGGCCAGGTTGACAAACATTTCAAGCTCAAAAGCTGATGGCATTGTCGATCTTTTCTTTGGGGCTGGTGCAAGAACCAAGCCTTGTCGACACTGCCATTCCGGCCCGAATCAGGGGCCCCTTTTGTGAGCCTAATAGGCTAGCCATGGAACGCTACGTTTGAGCAGTGCGCTCATCAGGAAAAGAGTGCCGTGGGCACTTGCGTGACTGATCTAGCTTGTGTGACCCTCCACTGCGCTACCTGCTGCAGATAGCCAGTAACCTAAGAATAAAAAGGCCTCTCTTTCTGGTATTGGGTAACTTTATAAGGAACCTGGGACTACTAAAAGGGAATAAGGGTACTACTGGGCATCCTAGTCGATATGTACAGTTGGGGGCCTGTCAAAGCCTGAAAGCGCGAAACCCCAACCTCAAATCCTCAACCCTCGAACTCAAACCTGACGCCCCAACCTTCAGTCAAGAAGAGGTCAAGCAAAACCCTGAACTATAAGGTACAAAAGCCCGCTACACATCTTGAACTCCCCAAACTTCCTAGAAGTATCTCTAGAGGTTTCGGCGAGGCTCTCTGGATATTCGAGGCGCTCTTAGATTTGCTTACCTACAAGAGCGCCGCCTCATGTTGGGGAATCCAAGGGATCTCGCAGCCTAGACTTAGACTCAAAAAAAGCAACACACGAAACCCAGCAAAGCCTTACCCGAAAAATCCCTGAATCCCTTATGCCCCGAGCCCGTAAAGCCGCAGTAAAAAGCTGCAATGCCTCCTTGATACGGTCTATGAGTACATCAGGCTCAGGACAACGGATGCTGCCATGGGTTTGAAAAAGCTGGGCGTCGGTCCAGCTCCTTTCCTTGTCTTTGCTGCGAAAAATTACACGCTGTACAGAGCCGTCGTTATTGGCTTCCAACAAACCCTAAACCCTAAACCTAAACCAAAAGCCCTAAACCCTAAAACCTAAAACCAAAAGCCCAACAGAACGACGGGAAGTGGAAAGCATCGCCAGAAATCTCTGCATCCGGCGGCCAGGAATGATTTCTACACCAGGTTCGGCGCCACGACACCAAACCCCGTCATACCTTAAACACCCTAAACCAAATCATAAAACCCGAAACCGCCAAACCCCCATCTAAATTTAGAATCCCGAACACCCTCAAAACCTAGGCCCTAAACCGTATGGACCCTTGAAGAATAAATCACTATGGACACTGGACCACAAAAAAACACGATGGATCCACAAGAGCAAGAAGATACGTAATACATGCATCTTTAACAGCACAAAAACCTTGTGAACTGCATCCCTATGAACGAGGGACCTTCAAAAACGGACCCTAAACAACGAAGTGAGCCCCTAACAAATATGTGGCCCAAGGCGAACGAAATGGACCCATGCATCCAATCCTATGGACCTTAAGGACGAAAACTGCCCCCAAGCTCTGTCTAAACTCTGAACTTTAAACCCTGCTAAACCCTGAATAGGCCCTGAACCCTAAACCCCCCTAAACCCCTCAACCCTAAATCCCTGAACCCTAAACCCCTAAATACACTCAACCCCATACCCCTAAACCACAACCCTGAACCCCTAAACAAACCAAACCCTAAACCCGTGAACCCCAAAACCCTAAACCCACTAAGCCCATTTCTCAAACCGAGCTCTGCGGAAGGCACCACGGCGAAGGCGCCCTCGCCGAGGACCTCGGCCTCCTCCTTTAAAGGGCGGAAGATGGTGGGCTTAGGGTATAGAGTCGAGTCTAGGGTAGGGTTTAGGGGTGTCGGGTTTAGGGCTTAAGGGTTTATAATTTAGGGTATAAGGTTTGGTCTACATAGTGTTTATATAGGGTTTGGGGCTATGGGTTTGGGATTTCGGGGTTTGCGGATCGTTTATGCTTTGGCTGTAGGGTTTAATTTCTGAGGGTTTGGGGCCAAGGGTTAGATCTAGGGGGGTTTTCAAAGATTCGACTACGTCGGGTGTAGAATTTGTTCGAGGATTCTTATGAGAGCTGGGAACGTTTGTGCCGAAGGCTGCATCACGCAGAACAAAGCTTCGGGTATGCTAGAGTAACCGTACGACTACAAAGGGCTGTAAGTGCAGATTATTGCTGCTTGTTCAGACCCCTATAGTAACGTTTGCGGTTACGAGCTTTGTCTTCGTTGTTGCCGCGGGGGTAGGGGAGGTGCATATGTTTGATAGTATGTTGTCCACTGGAATTTCTGTTCTATTGCTGTTGCCTCTTGTGGAGTTCAGTGTCCAACTCCCAGGGACAACTAAAGTTCAAGCTGTTCGGTGTAGTAAGGCCACAGTTGACAATGGCAATGCAAGACTTTGCCCATCAAGCGGGAGCCCAGGCAGTGCCTCAACAGAAATTACGTACTGCAGGCAATGTCACTCTAAGTGACTGCAGGCTTGTATGTGGCGCTTGTTCATGGTACTTCTCCCGAAACCAGCCACAAGGAAGGTACAGCTTCTGCGATGAAAGCTACTCATAAGGGAGTCCATCCCACAGCCTTCCTCCTCATGAAACCCCAACGTCTGCAGCCTTATAACAGCCTTCAGACGTGTAAGCTTTTGACCCTCTACTGTTGCAACCTTCGAAGAAACGTTGAAGTGCTGCGACCCTCAACCCGAAAAAAACATCGAAACCCCAAGCCTCAAAAAACCGCAAAAGCCCAGCAATCCCAACCCTAGATCCTCAAACTACGTGGCTTCTTACTCCTCATACCCTAAGGGGCCGAGTACCCAAATAGTAGGGTGTTAAACTCCAAAAACCACTCGTGGTATGGATTTTGGGATCTAAAACCCTACTATTTGAGTACTTGGACCCTCTGGGATAAGCTTCTTAAGCAGCAGCTTCTAAACACGATTGAACACCAAGTCCTCGTATTCTGCGGCCAGCGTCGGGTGGAGTTCCGACGGGTAAGTCGTGAGGCTGTCATGGTGTACAAGCGACGGTTTAGGGTTTAGGGTTTAGGGTGGGTTCCTGTCCTGTGTTGCTTTGCTGGCTTTTGTTCCTGACTGAAGGTGTCGTGCAGAATTCAACCTTACACCCGAAGCCCGAAACGCCAACACCCGAAGCCCCAAACCAAGGCGTGGAAATACGACCATGAATTAAACATAAAATGAAGCGAATCCTAAACCCAACACCCCCTTTTGAGGTAGGTGATAGGCCAAAGCCAAAGGCTTCCAAGATCAACTAACACTTGGCTGACCATTCCTCTTACGGTTTGGGTTTGGGCTTACGGGTTACGGGTTATGGGATACGGACTACGGGTTCAGGGCTTTAGGGTTTGGTGGCTCAGGGTTTAGGGTTCGGGTTGTGGGTTTGGCATTAGAGTGTTCAGGGCTTGATTAGGGTTTATACCTTATATGGCCGGCTAAGTCCAGGAATTCCGCACGGTGTTTGGAAATGAGTTTGGAGTCTTGGGTTTTGATAGGCATAGGTCTGGGCCTTAATAATTAGAATAGGGTTTGGCGCCAATTATACAATAGTTATTATCAGGAACCCCCAAAAATGAATCGTATTGGTAATGATTAAGGGCCCCTATCGTATTATGACACAGGCTTCAGGCAGTCTAACACTGGCTCTTGCTCCCAGTCGTGAGGCTCATGTGCATGAAAGCATGAAAAATGACTCAATCCAGCAAGACATTGAAAGAAACAGGGTTTAGGGTTTCGGGTTTGGGGGAGGTAAGGGAGAACGACGCCTTCGAATCATTGGCCAAGAAAGGCAGGAAGAACAAGAAGCCATCAAGCGAAGATCCTGATAAGAGTCATATTACCCTTTCTTCCAAGAAGTCGAAGGGTCCAAAAACTCGAAACGCCAAACCCCAAGCCCTAACCCTCCTATATTGCCAGACAGCAGTTGAACCGCAAGCAGCTTTGGAGTTCGCGAGGTCCGCATCTCATTGCTGCTTCGCGACTACCGTTTTGATTATTGCTCAGTATTTCATAGTATTTCCAGCATTTTCCAGCTGGGACACATCCGATTCGCATCCATGACCGTGCTTCCCGTCGACACAGCGTCTTTGTTTAGCAGAAAGCACCCCGGCTTCTCTGATGTCGGGTCCCCGGCGCAAAATGCACCGCCACAGAGCCCTTGCACACCATGGACTTGAAGTGGAGTCTTCATTTTCAAGAGGTACGTGGCGTCGAAAGCCAGCACCATTCGACCTGAGCTGCACGTTTCGAGTGCTTTAGGACTCACTCGTGCAGCCCCTGTAGCTGAAAAAGCCTGCTGGCTGTCCGCGGCTTGACAATCCTATCTAGTGAAGTGCTTTAGGACTCAGACCTACTTGTCGGGTATCATGGGGAACTAAAGGTTAACCTTTTCGGGTATATAGGGATTATGTAGGGACTATACTACCCAAAAAAGGTTAAAGGTTACATACTCTACTACTAGGCAGACTCCTGCTATGCCACTATGCGAGGTCGTTTTCGTGGGTGTCCGGTAACCCCACTGCCAGCCTCGAAAGCTGCAAAGGCGGCGGCCGTGTTTTGCCCTCGCCCGCAATCCTTCGCAGGATCGTTTAGGTTAGTGCTTTAGGGTTTTATGGTGAGGGAACCCAGCACCCCAGTAGTTACCAAGAACACGGCGGAACTGGAAATTCAGGGTTTTCACGCAGCTTTCAGCTACACTGTCTCCTTCGGCTCCGCTCCTCTACACCCTAAACCCTATATAAACTCTGCACCGTAAACTCTACCTAGAGGGTCATACCCTACCCCTTATTCAGGGTACCTGGTTTTATGATTAGTATCTGCTATATAGAAAAGTAGGTATCCCAAAAAAAGGGTAGGGTATGACCCTTTGGGTAAACTCTAAACCCTACCAGGACCCCCCCCAATGGCCCTTTAAAGGAGCCCTAATGGCCCTTAACAGTCGGTATTTGGGGCATAGTAGAGAGTAGTTGGGGGGTCTAGGTAACCCCTACCTTAACCCTGAAGAACCTACCTTTTTAGGGCTCCCTATTATGATTTCCTTATATAGGTCCTTAAAAAGGTAGGTTCTTCAGGTTTAAGGTACAGTCTTAACCTAAAACTAAACTCCA